GTAATATCATTAGTACTGAAAAAAAATAAATTTATGGAAAAAAAATTTTATTAAAAAATATTATTTTCTTACGTGAACAAACCCTATATATACATTTTTCCTTATGAAATTATCAAACTTTATATATAGTATTTCTAATATATATTATAAAACAATATTTTTTATTGTAAAATATTACATGTGTTTGATAAATTTTCACAATTTTATAAAAAATACTGCACATAATATTATATTTAAATAAAAATAAAAATAAAAAATAACCAAAACAACACATCATTGGTATTAAACATATATTTATAGCACATTTGTAATGCTTATAATCTTTATTTATTTAGAAAAATATTTTTAAGCATAATTTATGGTGTAAAAATTACTGTAGAGTAGATTTAGACATAGTAGGTAAATACTCGGATAAGATTATTTATCCAAACATATTTGCATCGGAATTCCTTCTAGAGAATATAAATTTTTAGAATAAACGATTGTATGTCATGCTATTGATACCTAATTACAAAGATATTTTATATTTAGTTTTTCTTCTAACTATCAAAATTATTGCCGATTTGACGAATAATCTTGATGGTTTTGTTGCATCATCTAATTGGAAATTATTTCCCCGTATAATATCATGGCTAATGATAACCTTGGAGCATTGATTACTCAGGTTCAGCCACGTAGTGATATTAACTATGATAGCAGTCTCGATCATTTCAAAATGCATTTCACGCGTAAGAAATTTAGATTAGTTGATGGTTCAATTCTAAAATTTGATATAGGATTGTCGGATCTTGAAGATTGGTGGACTATTCAATTCCTTTTGGTGTCATCTGGAATTATATTGAACCATCTCTTTATTTTGTGATGTATCACATGAAAGCTGCCGTTGATTTGTGAAGCACATTTTTGGAGAAATTTTCAGTCATAAATTATCCGAACTAAGAATTCAACAACTCAAGTTTGCATTGCTGGATTGTTAGCAAAAATGTATATTTATTATTTCTTACTATGCGAAACTACAAATTTTGTGGGAAGAAGTAAATGATCATCGTTGACTTTCTACTTCTTGATTTATATAATATTTGTCCAGCAATAATGAATAACTTGATGAAAAAAATCTTGAAGAATTTCATAATCATCAATTCTTCATGGGATTGGATTCTAATTTGTATGTTGCATTTTGTTCTCCAGTTTTAGAACATGATCCATTACCAATATTGAGTTTTTTTTTTTTTTTTTTTTTTTTTTTTTTTTTTTTTTTTTTTAAATGGTGGTTTAAGTAGAACATATACGTACTACTGAACAAATTGAATATGTTAGAGAGGTTATGACATTTTTCGTTGGTAATGGTCGACCATCACAGTTTAATCTTTATAGCAGGGGGATGCATGATCGAAATCAACTATGCATTAACTGTAATTATTGTAAATATTATGTTTCTTATTACTTCGAGTAAATTGGTTATCTGAAATAGTGGGGCAACTATCCAAACCAACAATTGTAGCGATGTCGGTCAAACATTAAGAACAAATCATGGAACAGAAATTGTTAGAAGTAACAACACCAAATAAGGTTTGGCCGCTATAAGTAATCTTGGTGTAAGACCGGTTTGTGCTAATGCATCGCATGTTGCTATTGATCAAAGTTTTTGTGAATCTATTAATCTTGATCACAAAAAATCAAACATGACTAGCCTGATCAATGAACAACAGAAATCTCTTCTTGCAACTTTACATGCAACTAAACTTAGAATTAACAAAAAATTGACTAGAAAACAATATTATAGGTATTAGACGTATGATTGTAGAACTTTTCATCATATCATGGAATGCTATTTTATAGCTATTTCAGATTTGTTGCCACAACACGTGCAATTTTCATATGAGACAATTACTACTATTACTAAAGTTGGAACAATGCACCTCAATCATCATATTACGTTGTACAATATATATATATATTTCAAGTTTGTAATGCGATTTAATATTTTTATATCAATTATTGAAACGATTTAATTGCGTTGCTCTATTTACCGGTTACCTATCCTGAAAAATAGTTGAACAAATTTCTTTTGAATTCAATACTTTTTTTGATAAATAATGCATGCGATGTCTACTTTAACAAATGATTACTTGTGATTTATGAGGACTTTATCATATTTATCATTTTTTAAGTTCATTATTTATTTATTTATTTTTGGTTGTGTAGAATATAAGCACCAACAAATTCTTAATGTAGCATATTTTGACTCATTAACAGGCTGCATACACATGTCTTGAATGTGTAAAAGTCTTTATACACATGCGAGTTTTATGGTATTGCATTGGATAATTTTTAATTTTTTTTATTTTTTTATTACATGAGAAACCGCAGCTGCTATACTTCGGGTGCACTCTGAATAAACCTCGACCGAATCTAATAGCCTGCAAACGAGGCCCGATAAAGCAAATCATACTAAAAAAACCATGTATGACAAGCAAGACCTGGAGGCACGAAGTTTGAACCCATGACCTTATGGTCACGAGTCCATCTCCATACCACCAGACAAGATTCCAATCTATGATATATGGTGGTGAGTCTTCTTCGTTATCACTGCCAATAAATGATTATGATGATGATACTGATTGCCATCTGGTTGCTCAACCTACATTGAACATATCTATGGTTGTTCATTTGGTTGAATTATCGTTAGATATTATGACTACCAATGATAGAGTGATTTTAGATTCTTCTAGTTCTATTAAAATATTGGAGGTTACTGGACTAAAATTCCTTAGTCTCGACTTTGTGATTTTGTCTTTCATAATGTTAGTTCCTCGAACTTCCCTTTGTCCCCGAGCAAGAAAGTCTTTTACCAACTTATTGCAATTTGTAACTTCATGGTTGATGTGATTCTGATTGGATTAGCTATTTTTTTGACCTGTCGCTCTGTCATTGACTGATTTATTTAGTTAGACAGTTCTCCCATCTCTTGGCTACAAAGAAACAATACACTTGGTTTAATTATTGGATGAAGCAAAGTATCATGTCATGGCTACCACTTCATTTAACCTAAAATGGTTAATGATTTTGGTATCACTCATCCTCACTCCATACAACTTTACTATGACAATGAAGTACCTTTGCATATTGCTAGCAATTCAATGTTTCATAGATGAGCTAAACATATCGACGTTGTTCTTACTCATACTCAATTAGTATATATTTAAGGAGACGCTTGTAAAATGTTACTTTAACTATTTTTTTGGCAAAATTGGGCATTCCAAATCAGCATGCTCTAATTTGAGCAAGATGTTAATGTCTGTAATCTTTATTGTTAATGTTTGTAATATTTATTTATTTGGAAAAGTATTCTTAGACACAATTTATGGTGTGAAAAATATTATGAAGTTCATTTAGATATGATACGTAAATATTTGAATATGATTATTTATCTTTTGTGATATATATATATATATATCGGGGTTCCTATCGGAGTATATAGATTTTTGGAATAAATGATTTGTCATATATCAACGCTATTTTAATTCAAATTTTAATTATTTTTGCTCCATAAGAGGTGACCGATGTACTTATGACTGCAAGTTTGTATATGAGTTAAAATCTTATTGATATTTTTTCGGTTGAATTTATCACACAATTTTTATTTTTTATTACTCCCTCCGTCCTAGAACTATAGTCTAAGTTGTGTTTGATACGAGATTTAAGGAATATTGATATTATATTGGTAGTGGGTAAAAAGTACGGGTAAAAAATTTTTCTGCCCTTGTGAATATATTAGTGTAAAAAATAGTGGCAATTGTGTAATAATAATGAAAAAGTAAGGGTAGTTTTTATAGTGATATGGTTATTTATAGAAATGAGACTATTGTTTTGGAACGAATAAAAATGATAAATAGGACTATTGTATTGGAACGGAGGGATTTTTTAATTTCGCATATCCACTTGGCGAAGATTGCAACCTATCGTGCTTAACTAGAGTTTACTTGTTGAATATTCGAAAAGTAACGGCCGTAAATTTCTATAACATCGAAATTGAAAATTAAAAATATATGAACATGCTCTTTTTGCATCAATTCTTTTTTTTTTTTTTAAAATTACAGCTGCTCATGCGTTCTCAATAGCAATATATATTTGATTTATACAATATTATATCAAATTATTATTATTTTTTATCTAAAAAGTCAAATAACAAATTTAAACTAAAATTCAAATTCAATGACAAACCAAACAAGTTATATATTTTATATCCACAATAAATAAGATTTTGAAATATATCTAAATTTATATTTTGTATGGCAGTGTTATGATTAATTATAATCAATACATGCTAATCATATATAAAATATAATAGTAGCATTAGATCGATATTTTTATATAATACAAATATAATACATAAACTTATTAGTATATAATAGTAATACACTACTATAATTAATTTGAGTACACAAAATATTTTAAAACAATTAATCATATTTTATTTATATACTCCCTCTATTTTACATATGATATCTTGTATACGTAGATATGAGATTTTTAGAGTTGCGTATGTTAGATGATCGAAAATATGATATCAGAGTCATCGTTCTCGAATTTGAATATCTCTATCTCCATTCGACATATATTCATATGCATCATTTTGCACATGAGGGGACGTGTTGGTTAACTTTAGTATATATATATATATTAATGATATGTATTATTTATAATTTAAATTTTTAGGTGAGATAATCATTTCGATAATTTAATATAGTATTAGAGCCATAGATATCGAGTCATGCATAGTCTAGCTCGTTTAAAAAAATATAAATATATCAATAAATATAATTATGATAAAAATATAAATAATTATATTTTAAAATATAATTAAAATTGTAGAATTTTTTATTTTATTTTATTTTAAATGAGACAGATGTAAGAGGGGAGGAGTATAAAAGTGATCGCGGGGGCACCGTATACATATACATATACATGTATATACATATGCGCGCGTGCGTAGCACATCCTCCCCTATAAATATATACACGCGCATACGCATACAAGTAATTCAACATCACAAATTGCACCGCCGCGATGTCGCCGGAGAAGAACAGTTTCTTCTCCTCTTCCTCCTCCTCGGAGACCGCCGCCGTCGCAAAATCAAATCCGACGGTACCGGAGCTTCCTCCGCCAAAAAAACCGAAGCGCAACATGTACGCCCTCGCCTGTTCCTTCCTTGCTTCCATGACCTCGATCTTACTCGGCTACGGTACGTAATAATCAAAATTGATTCAGTAATTCATCAGTTTTGATGTTCGATTCGGTAATTCGGTGATATGTTTTCCTTAATTTTGATGAATTCGTACTCGAATTGCAGATATCGGAGTTATGAGCGGAGCTATAATTTATATCGTGAAAGATATTCATATGAACCACGTCCAGAAGGAGGTTATAATGGGGATACTGAATCTATACTCGCTTATCGGCTCCGCCGCCGCCGGTAGGACCTCCGATTGGATCGGCCGGCGGTACACGATAGTGTTGGCCGGAGCTATTTTCTTCCTCGGGGCGCTGCTTATGGGATTCGCTACGAACTACGCGTTCCTCATGATCGGGAGATTCGTCGCCGGAATTGGCGTCGGATACGCTTTGATGATCGCGCCGGTGTACACGGCGGAGGTGGCGCCGGCGGCGTCGCGCGGCTTCCTCAGCTCTTTTCCGGAGGTTTTCATCAATTTCGGTGAGTGTGTGCTGTTTCTGTGGCGGTGGGTTTTTGGATTGAAGGGTATTTGTGTCATTTCACATGCGTTTCAAATATGGTTCAAGGAAGTAACTTGATTGGTTGGTGGTACGAATTTTCAAACTTAAGTAGATAATTCAGGCTTGAATATTAATATATATATATATTTAAATATAGTGTATATATTATTTCAATTACAGCATTAAAAAAAATAAAATTCGTGGGAGTGTTCGGTAGGTAGGATCCAAATAATAAAATTTTAAAATAGAAAAAAATATAGTTAGGTTGGGTATTGATTTTAGATTTTTAAATATAAATTTAATTTATAACATAATATAAAAAAAATAAAAGAAAATTAATAATTTTTTGATATAATTTTTTTTTAAAAAAAATTAATAAATAGTATAAAACGTGAAAAAATCTTTAAACAAAAATACAATTGACAATCTATTTATTCAATACTTTTTATTTTTATTTTTCAAAGTATTTTAAGGAATAGTGGATTGGAAACAATACTTTTGCAATTAATTAAAGTTTAGAGTGGCTAATATAATTATTTATCAATAAATACGTGTTAGTGTAGTATTTATATTAACTACCTCTCTAGTTTAGCCCAATTAAAAGAATGAGCCGAATTCGAGTGTTCATATTCATAGGTAACCTCAATTCTAAGTTTAATTTGTAGGTAATCTCGATGAAATACTATAATAATTTTGTCATACTCTATATTAATATATCAAAAAGAAAAAAAAAAAATTAGCTCAATGAGTTTTAATCCAACTTAATTAATCCATTGGTAATAACTTAAGTATTTTTAATTTAAGATATTTATAAATTTATTTTAAACTGTTATTTTAACAAAAACTTCTAACTAAAGTGAGTTGGCAATCATCTAAATATTATTTGAGTAAGTGTGTTTATTTACCAAAGTTTTTTCAAAATTTATTATTTGTACTATGTGATTTTTGAAAATCACAAACTATCACATTAAATATTATTTAAGTAGAAAATCAAAATTTCTCAAATCAAACGCAAAGAAACACACTTTTAAAGTTTTGTTTAAACAAGACTTTGGGTTGTTTGATACTATTTATTTTTTTAAACTCAAATTAATTTTATTTTTTTTTTTCACAAACTATTATATATATATATATATTAATTTTTTAATTATTTTGTAATTATTATTTTTAATCAAATTGTTTAGCTGTAGGGCAAGTAGTTAAATATATCATGTTAATTTAAGCTAAAATTGGGCCCAAAAAATTAATATATTCCACATATTCATTATTTTTATATTATTTATAATATATCTTACATAAAAAAAAAGATATATCACTTCAAATAATTTTACAAAATAAACACACTCCTAATATTTTAAATAAAAAAATAATTGTAATAATATATTTAGTATTTTTAAATTATTACTCCCTCCGTCCACTTACAATGTTTACATAATTCTATTTTGGGACGTCCAATTACAAAGTTATTATTTCATTAAATACCCTACTTTTTTCCACAAATACACTTACTTTACATCACATCATTACTTTTACATAAAAAAAAAAGTAAGGGCAAAAATATCATTACACTACTTTTAACTACTCACTATAATTAAAATACTATTATTTTTTAAACACCGCGCCTAAAGTAAATATAAACCTTGTAAATGGATGGAGGGAATATATTTTTCTATTTTTAGTTTTTTTTTTAAAATTCCAATTCTTTTAAATCTTTTATGAGCCAGTTTTATAGATTGTTTATTTAGTATTTTAATTTGAAATATTTTTTTTTTTACAATCATATAAAAGAATATATAGTTAATATAAAAAATAATATTTTATAATATTAAATATTAACTCTTTGCTAGAAAATAAAATATACTTCCAATTTTATAAAATAATGCTCAAATTTTTTTGCATAGAGATTAAAAAAATACTAATATTATTTAATATAATTTTTGTATTTTTTTTTTTATAAGAGTAGAAGTAGAATTTTTTATAAGATCAATAATTTAAATTTTGAATTAAAGTAAAATTTGTGTAAGAAATATGTAGGATTTTCAACAACTTATGTAAGTATATATTATAATACTTTCTTCGTCTCCTTTAAGGTCACATTTATCTTTATCATTATATTTAATATTAAAAATATTTTTATATTTGTATAATTGTTTGTACAAATATCATTATATTAGTATTATAAAACACTAATGGAAGTATTTTTGCAATTTTTTTTAAAATTTATATTATATTTTGATATAATAATTAATATTCAAATATCAATACGCAACAAGTAAATAAGACCTTAGAGCCGAAAATGTAGTAGTATATAAAGCTTTAAATAAAGATTTTAGTTCTCTACAGAGCACACTTTTACAAAATAAAGAGAGCATATTTTGGAATTGAAAAATTGTATTAGTAATACTATAGTTTGAACGAAGAAATTCTATATTAGAATGTTTTTTTTTTTTTTTTTCCGTAAAAAATACTCCATCCGTCCACTAAATAAGTATATATTTACTTTTAGCGCGGAGATTAAGGAATAATAGTATTTTAATTATAGTGGGTAGATAAAAATAGTGAAATGACATTTTTGCCCTTGCTTTTTTGGTATAAAAGTAGTGATGTGATGTGATGTAAAGTAGGAGTATTTGTGAAAAAAATAGGGTATTTAATGAAATGGTTACTTTGTAATTGGACTTCCTAAAATAGAAACATGTATATTTTCTAGCCGGACGGAGGTAGTATGTATTTTTCAAAATATGTTTATAGAAAAATTGTGTGTTTGTTTGGAGGATTAGGAAGCATTTATACTATTCATACAAATTTTTCTTCCAAAAAAATATCAAATCAAATATTTATTTTTTATTTTTTTCTATTATACTAAAAATTAATTTTACATTTAAAACATCACATCAATATTTATTTATATCATATCATACTACTATTCCAATTCAATTTTTTTATTATTCAAATCCCAAACAAACACACTGTTACATTATTCATATTAATTATTTTTATATTAGTTATCACATTTTCTATATTTTTTTGTGAAAAAAAAAAATCTCTAAAATATTGTTATAGCAAATTGAGGCAATTAGTATATTTTTACAGGTATATTGCTCGGCTACGTGTCAAACTACGGCTTCTCGAAGCTTCCACAGAATCTCGGCTGGCGATTTATGCTCGGCGTCGGAGCTATTCCGTCGATCGCCATCGCCATCGGCGTCCTGGCCATGCCGGAGTCTCCACGGTGGCTGGTCATGCAAGGTCGCCTTGGCGAAGCCAAAAGAGTCCTCCAGAGAACCTCCGATTCGCCGGAGGAAGCCAAGGTCCGCCTCGCCGACATCAAGGAAGCCGCCGGCATACCGGCGGACTGCGACGACGACGTAGTCGCCGTCACCAAGCAGCACCACGGCGAAGGCGTCTGGCGCGAGCTCCTCCTCCGCCCAACGCTTTCGGTGCGCCACATTCTAATGTGCGCCGTCGGAATCCATTTCTTCCAGCAGGCCAGCGGCATCGATTCCGTCGTCCTCTACAGTCCGACGATCTTCGAGAAAGCCGGCGTGAAGAAGGACAACGACAAGCTCCTCGCCACCGTCGCCGTCGGATTCGTCAAGACGACCTTCATCCTCGTCGCGACCTTCTTCCTCGACAAGGTCGGCCGCCGGCCGCTGCTCCTGTCCAGCGTCGCCGGAATGATCGTGTCGCTCACGGCGCTAGGGTTCGCGCTAACAGCCGTCGACCGCTCCGGCGACGAGAAATTGGTTTGGGCGGTTGCGCTGTGCATAACCGCCGTACTTGCCTACGTGGCACTATTCTCCATAGGTATTGAGATCTTAATATTTATTATTATTATTATTATATTATACTCTCCATCATAACTGTGTGCTGATTTACGGGAGAAAAAAAAAATAGGTAAAAATAGAAAATTTTATTTTTTTGGGATAAAATAGAAAAGGTAATATTTTTTTATTCAAAAAGTTTCTTAGTCATTCAAAATTATGTTCATTTGACTGAATAGATTTTTAAAAAAAGTGAGTAAAATTAAAAATTTCTTTTTTTAAGAGTAAAAAAAATTTTAAAAAAATGATATTTTTTTATTAAAAAAAAAATAATATAAATGATAAAAAAAAATTAATAAATTTAGATGATAAATGAAATATTTATTTTTTATTAATATAAATATATTTAATATTTTTATAATAGGGATGGGGCCGATCACGTGGGTGTATAGCTCGGAGATATTTCCGCTCAGGCTGAGGGCGCAGGGTTGCAGCATGGGGGTGGCGGTGAACCGCGTGACTAGCGGCGTGGTGTCGATGACGTTTCTGTCGCTGACGAACGGAATTACCACCGGCGGCGCGTTCTTCCTATACGCGTCGGTGGCGGTAGTGGCGTGGGTGTTCTTCTTTGCTTTGCTGCCGGAGACGCAAGGGAAGACGCTGGAGGAAATGGAGGCACTGTTTGGGACATTTTTCCGGTGGCGGAGCTCTCTGGCGGCATTGGATGAGAAGAAGAAGCGTGACGTGGAGATGATCTGAAAAGCCTGACGGTAAAGGGTTAAGAAAGTTAAGTTATGTATATGGTAAGGACTTTTATGTTATTTCCGATATGCTAAGCTTATTACTCTTTATGTCATCTACCAATATACTCCTATGTTACAGTTACATTCTAATTGTCACTTCTTTTTTTTTTTTTTTTTTTAATTTTTTTAATTTTTTATATGGTACTATTTTAATGGTTACGTTTTTATTTTTGGTAAAATTTATTAAATCTAATTATATTTAACAAAATATAAATAAATTTAATTAACTTTATAATATATAATATTACATATTATATAAACTCATTAAAAATTTCTTTATTTTTATATCTCTTTAATAAATAAATATTTTTTTTTAAAAAAAATATATATACTATTTATTTATTTATATTATTTTAAAGTTTATTTTCTACAAAATGATATTATATATTTTATTTAAATATAATATTAAAAATATTTAAACACATATTTTAAATTTATTTAAATCATATACTCCATATTAATTCTTATTTTAAAATTACTAACGAAATTACTCATATAAAAATATAATATAATAATATCATAATATTAACTAATTAAACTATTTTATCCGAAATAATGTGTCTTAAATGAAATGGGGAATATATATTTTACTATCATTTAAGATGTAAAAAATAATAGACATACTTTTTAAATTTGGTAGATGTAGATTTCTTAATATTAATAAAATATTACTTTTTTGTTTGAATTAATTATTTTGCTATTTTGATCAGTTTGAAATTAATTAATTTGATTTATTTTATTAATTGTGATCCCCATAAATATATAGGGTCTTCTTTTTTTTTTTTTTTTTCTTTTTTTTATGATGATTTTTACACAAGATTTTACTTATTTATTATTTTTTTTCTCTGAATATATCAAATAAAAATTTTATTTATTATTATTTTTCTCTGAATATATCAAATAAAAATTTTATTTATTAGTTTTTATATTATATTAAAAATTAATTTTACATTTAAAATATCACATCAACATCTATTTATATCACATTATATAATTATTCTAATATAATTTTTTTTACTATTCAAATTCTAAATATAAATTCAAACCCTCAAAAGGAATAGACCAAACATACATCTTATATATTATTAAAACAATATTATCAATATAATTTAGCTATATTCCAAAAAAATCTTTAGGGGTAAAGTCGTATATTTATTTATTTATTATGCTACATATATATATATATATATAAACATTTATATTCCAAAATCAATATTAAAAAGAAAATGGATACATTAATTAATACCAATAAATTGAGTATATATTCACTTAAAAATAGCAAAATATATTTTTGAAAACATTTTTTATTATGGCTTTTATCTTTTTGGTATTTTAGTTTAGTGTTGAAGCTCTCGACCTCCAATCCGTTCTCATAATATCTTCTCTTTTTTTTTCTCAGTATCTAATTAATTTCGGTCTTCAATTTCATTCTTATTAGAGTTTCCTATTAAAATTGGTATTAGAAAAAAAAGAGAGGTTATTTTTGGTCTTTCATTTGGATCATAACAAGACATACTAATTTTGATATAACAACAAAAAGTTTGCATTCCTACATGGAAAAAACATTGTCATATTCCACCAAAATATGACACCGATTGTCCATTCACCAACGGGTTGTGTTTTTGTGATCGGATGAACACCACCATGTTTGTTCTAAGTTAGATATTAAATTTTCCATTGTTACGTCCACATCAACATATTTATCTAAATGGAAGATCATAAATGATAGAAAATTTTGACTGAATAATTTTGACGAAAATTTTATTATGAAACTAAATTGATTAAAGTAATGTGAAGCAAAACTAAAAATAATATTCATTTTATAAAATATTTGAAAAAATAATTATATGAGAGTGAAAAAGAAAAAAAATTATTAAGCAAATATTCTTCGAGCCAAAAATTAAATTAGAGATCAAATTGGGATGAACATAAAATGAAATATAAAATTGATAAAAGAAAATTACTCAAATAAAACTCTTTTACTTATTTTGATATATAATACAAAATTATAAATTAAATGTTAGAATGTCAAAGTGACAACAAAATGCAAAGTCTGCTTCTACAAAATCTTGTCCATAAAAAGTCTTTCTCATGCATGAAAAAATATAGGAGAGACGAAATTTCAAAGATCATATTGTCAAATTTTTGTTTGACGTGTGAAAAAGAAAATACAATTTTTTTATTTTGCTACGGGTTCATTTATGATCTTTTTTTACACGCACAAACATGAAACAAAACTAGTGACCATGTTATCCGGTAAGTGATGGCTTGGTGGTGGATTTTTTTATCGTGAGGTCATGAATTCAAACCCTCGATACCTCAAAGTTTAAAGCTTATAAGATTTGATTATGGAATAGAGTTTGGTGAATATATATATTTATAGCTATAAAAAGTACATTAACAATTAATATGATAAGTAAATTTTGACAATTTTAATCATTGGAAAAATTTTATGCATTATGATCATACAAAAAAATAGACAATATTTGTCTGTCCCACTTTGTATGATATTAAGTTTGATAAGAAATTTATCCAGATGATACACTTGTTTTCTTTAACGGTCTCTTGTTTTTTTAACTGTTATTTTATTAAAAAATAAAAGTATGAACAAAAGATGATTGATGTAAGAAAATTTTAAAGCTTATAAGATTTTTTTTTTTTTTATGATGCAATAGAGTCTTGATGATACTATTATATTTATAGCTATATAAAATAGATTAACAATTAATGTAATCAAGTGAATTTTGATCATTTTAATATGTGTAATGATTTTGTGCATTATGTTCATAGAACAAATGTACAATACTTGTCAGACCTAGTTTATAGGGTATTAAGTTCGATCGAATATTTACCCAAAGGGCAAATTTGTTTTCTTTGACGGCCTCTTGTTTGTCTGACTGTCATTTTATATTAAAAAATAAAAATATGAACAAAGGAGAATTGATGTAAGAAAATTTTAAAGCTTATAAGATTTGATAATGCAATAGAGGCTTGGTGAATATATATAGCTATAAAAAGTAGATTAACAATTAATGTGATCAAGTAAATTTTGACAATTTTAATATTTGGAATGATTTTGTGCATTATGTTCATACAAAAAGTGGCCATACTTGTTGGGTCTAATTTACAAGGTATTAAGTTCGATTGAGAGTTTACCCAAATGAGACACTTATTTTCTTTGACGGCCTCTTGTTTGTCTGACTGTAATTTTATATTAAAATATAAAAACATGAACATATGGGGATTGATGTAAGAAAATTTTAAAGTTTATAAAGATTTGATGATGCATTAGAGTCTTAGTGATGCAATAGAGTACTGGTGAATATATATTTATAGCTATAAAATGTAGATTAACAATTAATATGATCAGTTGAATTTTGATAATTTTAATATGTTGAATGATTTTGAGCATTATGTTCATGCAAAAAATGGACAATACTTGTTGGATCTAACTTGCAGAGTATTCTCACCTCATAAAAAAAAAAAAAAAAAAAAGTTTGATTGTGTTGTATGGACAAAAGAAAGAGTTTAATTATAATTTGAGTAATTCTTTGTGTGTTTTTCAAACAAGTTAATTTAATTTTTTACATGAACAACGTATTCTAAAGCTTCTATAATCACTACAAAAATAAAGTAATTTAGCTACGGATATTAGCGAGGGATCTCACATCCCTTGCCAATAGTGACGGTTTGCGATGAATTGTTGCGAGGGAATAATCTCTGACAAACTTTCATCATGTTAGATATTGAAATGAAGTTGGCTAGCTAATTAGAACCTTAAAATCCTTTACTAATTTAATGATGATTATTGTAAAAAAAAATATATATATATATATTAGGAGGGAATTAAATCCCTAACCAACTATTATTTACAAAAATAAAATAAAATGAATAAATATTAAATTTATTTAACTTAATAATTTTATTATTTAAACATATAAAAAAATTAATTTATAAAATATAATGCATAGTGTTATTTTTCTATATATATCAATTTTTATTTTTATTCATATTAATATCAATCTCTATTTTTATTCTTATTAATATTATATTTTTTTCATAAAATTATAATAATATACAATATATGTCAATTAAAGTAATCTTGATATGTGATTGTATAATGCTCCTCTAATTTAGTACATATGTATATAATAAATGAAAACATATATACCTATTTGCCATCTGATTCTGATGCAAGGTACCAGTACATCTGACAACCCGAGGTGTTGTCCACTGAAATCGAGGGAACCAACCCCTGCAAAAAAGATAGGATGTTGGATTGAACAAATTCAAGATATATAAAGTCAATCCTTTAAGTTATCCTTACTTACCTGGCGATGAATAGGGTAAAAGAAAATTACTATTTCTAATAAATTAATTTTAATTGACAATATTATATATTATTATAATTTTATGAAAAAAATATAAAATTAATATCAATAAAAATAGAGACTGACATTAATATGAATAAAAATAAAAATTGATATATATATAGAAAAATAACACTATGCATTATATTTTATAAATTAATTTTTTTATATGTTTAAATAATAAAATTATTAAGTTAAATAAATTTAATATTTATTATTTTATTTTTTTTTGTAAATAATAGATGGCTAGGGATTTAATTCTCTCCTAATATATATATATATATATATATAATTTACAATAATCATCATTAAATTAGTAAAGGATTTTAAGGTGCTAATTAGCTAACCAACTTCATTTCAATATCTAACATGATGAAAATTTGCTAGAGATTATTCCCTCGCGCAAACCGTCACTATTGGCAAGGGATGTGAGATCCCTCGCAAATATCCGTAGCTAAATTACTTTATTTTTGTAGTGGTTTTAGAATAAAAAATTTGAGTTATTTTTTGTCTTTTATTTGTATCCTAACAAGACATACTAATGTTGAAGTAACAACGAAAAAATTGCATTTTGATTTTGAATCACACTGTCACATTCCATCAAAACACGGAAATGATCATCCAATCACCAAGCAGTTGTGTTTTTGTGACAAGAAGAAAACGATCGTGTTTGTTCTAAGTTGGTTATTAAATTATATGTTGTTACGTTCATAAATCAACATATCATTTTTAAATGGAAGACCAAAAATCATAGAAAAAGTTTGACGGACTAATTTTGATGGAAAATTTCTTATGGAACTTAATTGATCAAAGTATTGTGAAAATGTGAGAGTAAAATGGAAAAAATTTAATAAGCACATGTTGCTCATCAAAAATAAAATAGGGATCAACATATAATGAAATATAAAATTGATGAAAGGAAAACATTAAGATAAAAATTTTTATTCATTTTGATATATGATACAAAAATATAAATTCAATGATAGAATATTAACGTGACAACAAAATGCAAAATCCACAAATATGCAATATTGTCCATAAAGAGTATTTGTCATGCAGAAAAAAAATTATATATATATATATATATATATAGGAGAAACAAAATTGCTAAATTTGTATGAAAGAAAGAAATAGTTGAATTATAATTTGAAAAATTATTTGTGTGCTATTCAAATAAGTTTGATTTTCTTCATAAACAACATGTTTTGAGTTTCCATAATTATCCTTACCTAATTAAATTACAATATATAACAATTAATATTATAATAGAGAATAATAGTATAATTTCATATAATTATTTTAAAACTCATTTTTATTTTATAGCCTTTTTTTCTACCATCTACGTCTCGTAATTCTTCTTCTTCTTTTTTTTTTTTTGACAAAAAAAATTTGTCCAAAAATACGACAAAAAAATATCAAACAATCATAGTCAAAGTGCAACGTAAGTTCATTGGTTGCAAGACAACATAGAAGGGAATAGATGTTGTTGATGATAATAAATTAAACAATCTTGTTAGATAAAGTAAATGACTAACTCATCTAAAATACGTATAATTTATTTATTTATCTACAAACGGGAGTCACGTGCAAGGTGGATAAACGTTACCAAACGAAACTTGCACGTGGACAACGACAAATGGGAGATGGTGGAATTCGAACTCGAGAACTAAGACTTTGATACCATATTAAGAAGGGATCCAGACTTCAAACCTAAAACCAATTAATACTGGGTTGAGTAGTTATTCACTCTTATAATCCAAAAGAGTTTTCACAATGTGGGACACATTTAAGACTAAAAATGATAATTTCGAAAATTCAAACATGATCAATACTCAATACAAACACCATGACTCTGATACCATGTTAAGAATATTTTATGAAAATTCAAAAATTTTATTTTGAGCAAATCACATTGCGAGGGAGGAGAGCTTCTTGCTGGTCCCTAGATAGAGATCCTCAAGATACACCTTTAATGGATGCACTACATCTTCTCCTCATCTTTGCCTTCTTCCACGACTGTTACCATCTCCAAATTTGGTTTCACCGAAGAGCTCCGAAAAGAGTCCGATACATGTCACTGTCTCCACCACCACCCATTCCTTCTTTGAGGGCATCCTCACTAGGGCTGGCAACCGGATCAGGTCGGGTCGGGTTCAGGTTCGGGTCAGCTTAAACTGGTTACAAAACCCTTGACCTGAACCTGACCCATTTAATTAAATGGGTTGATATTTGCAACCTTAACATGACATTTTATTAATCGGGTAACCTGAATCTGACTCATATAACCTGTTTAAATCTAAAATTTTTAAATTTTAATTTAAAATTACAATTTATACTAACAAAATTTTTAAATGCATAATATATATATATATATTAAAGCAAAAAAATATTTATTCATATCATGAAACCGATATCCAAGAATTAAATTAACAAATGCTAGATAATAGTACACAACACAATCCTTTATTTTTTATTGTTGATTTTTATAAAATTGGCCATAAATATTGAATTGTATTGATAAAATTTAAAAAATATATTTAAATTTAAAATAATATTAAATAACCAGGTTAGACGGATTATTTTCAAGTCGAAAATGTGGACCTTAACCTGACCCATTTAATTAAAAGGGCTAAACGGGTTTGACCCAATTATTAATTGGGTCGAAAATCTCAACCCAAACCCAACAATTTCAGGTCAGGTTCGGGTCGGGTTATCAGGTCGGTTAATTTTTGCCAACCTTAATCTTCACCATACTGATTATAGATCTCACGTTTTTCAAAATCACTTAAAACCATATGAATGAGCAATCTCTTTGAACTTTTCAGGATCCCCTCACTTATCATGATGGTTCTTAATCGTTGCTTTCTTATACGCCTTCTTTAAATCATCGGCCGACACCGTTTTAGGCACCCTGAGGATCTTATAGTACTTAGTGTTATAACTTTTCTTCGGCGCCCTTTCAAACATCTTCAATAATAAAAACCACGCAAACAATCAAGTAATATGTCCGACAGAAAAGCATATCCAGAATTGCGCTCAAGCAATATGAATAAATGAAATAATCCAAAAAATATATATCGGGATACATATTGCGGAATGGTGCAATCAATAGTGCTCATTTCAATTGAATCCATACTCCATATGTATATTATAATATGTTAATTACATACACGACAATTACAAAACAACTTATTATATGCAATTAATATATAACACATTATATATTTAAAGTGAGAGTTGAAAAGAATATCAATATTAAAAAACTTCTTTAGTATTGAAACAAAACATAGTATATATATTTTATATGAAGTTTTTTATCGAAATTATTCTTGAAATTTATCATTTTTTTTTGTCATTTTATGTATTCCAGTTAGATCATAATACAATATGTTAATATTAACATAACAGTGAAGAACTAGGTCAGACTCCAAATTTTTCATCGTAATGTTCACATCATCATATTTTATTAGAATTTAAACGGAAGACCATAACCTATTAATATAAAAAATTTTATAGATCAAATTTGATGAAAACTTTTTTACTAGAATAGATTAATTTAAGTAGTGTGAAAATGGAATAAAAAATACTAACATTTATTCTATAAAATATTTGAAAGAAACTTATGCGAAAGAAATGGGAAAAAAAAAACTATTACCCACAATATTGCTTGATCCAAAAATAAAATTTGAGAACGAATTGAGTTTAACATAATATGAAATATAAATTGATGAAAGGAATTGTTAATATAAAACTCTTTATTCATCTTCGCATATGATTAAAAAATAAAACAACAAATTAAAATAATAAATAATAAATTAGACAACCAAAATTATCATATGTCCATCGTCAAATTTTTGTGGGTAAACTGTTTTTTTTAATCCCGTAACTGGACCCCCTTATCATTTTAGTTCCGTAAGTGGAACCTATCGCAAATTAGTCCTATAAGTGGAAAATTTTCGTTATTTTGGTCCTCCGGCGCTGGAGATGTCAGAGTGGCTCGCCGGAGGTGACGTGTCTGCCAGGTCAGCGACACCTGACGGACACGTGGATTTATTTTATTTTATTTTTTCATTTTTTTTAATTTTTTAATTTTTTTTTTAAAAATTGGACTAAATAAAAAAAATTAAAAAAAAATGCAAATAAAATTAAAAATAAGTTTTTAAAAAAATTTAAAAAATGAAAAAAAAAAAATCCACGTGTCCGCCAGGTGTCGCTGGCCTGGCGGACACATCACCTCCGGCGAACCACGCGAGCGTCTTCGGCGCCGAAGGACTAAAACAGCGAAAAGTTTTCACTTATAGGACTAGTTTGCGACATGCTCCACTTACGGGACTAAAATGATAAAGGGGTCCAGTTACGGGACTAAAAAAATAGCTTACCCAATTTTTGTCTAACATGCGGAGAAAATAATACAATTGTTCGTTTGTTGCATGTTTATTTATATATATATATATTTTTTTTTTTTACATGGTCAAATATGAATAAGTCTATTTGACTATATTGCGTGGACTTTGACAAATTCTTATGTGTAAAATTAGGTTTGACGTCGTATTTTTCATTGTAGTGCTCACATTTACATATTCAGGGACGAAGCTACATGGGAACCCGGAGGATCCGCCGCCCCCCGAACTCGGTGATCGCTGGTGATCTCCATTACGTCGACATAAGAAGGAAGAAGAAAAAAAAATCTTTGCCCCCCGAACCCGACGGCTGACGTTGGAGAAAAAAGGTATAGATGTATGATGGAGAGGAATAAGAATGAAGAAGAAGAAGAAAAAAATGAAACAATAATGCCGGACCTATTGCATTGAAATGGAAGATGAGAAGGAAGAGAATGAAGGTCTGTAAAGTGTGGCAGCCGTGGCTATTGGTATTTATATAATTAAAATTATTTTATGTTATAATAATAATAATAACTAATTGTTTTTGTATATTTAAGTTTATATTTGATAGTGACGTTATTTCAAACTTTAAACAAATTTAAAGAATTATTTTTTAAATTAATAAAAATCAATATAAAATTTTAAAGTAAAAATCAAAAAACCTATTTTAAAAGCTAATTCAAACTAGATCTAAGCCTATTTGGATTAGCTTTTAAAAAATTGGTTTTGACTTTTACTTTTTGAAAAAAATATTTATACAAATTTAAATTGACTTTTAAATAAAAGTTATTATTGTATGTATAATAATAATCATAATATAACATATAATAACTTAAAATTATAATTAAATTGAATATTAAAAATATAGTTGAAATATCAAATTTAAAAATATAAAATTTTAATTATACTACATAATTTAAAATTTAAAATATAATTTATAAAATTTTAAAAGAATTTATACAATAGAATTAATTTGAAATTATATACAGTATTATATTTAAATAAAAATTTAAAAATATAATTGAAATAGCAAATTTAATATACATATTAATAATCGTACGACATAAGTAGTGTAACTTTTTAAATATAATTTATAAAATTTTAAAATAAATTATAAAAATTTGGAGAAATATACATTTACAAATTTTATTACATCTAAATATTTTTTTCTACAAAAAATATACAATCAGACAAAAAATCAAAATGTTTCTGCATAATTCTCACATATGATTTAAAAACTGTGTAACACTCTTTTATGTTTTTCAAAATGTTGCATCAAACCTCCTGCCGTCTACTTTTAAGAGACCGTACGCAACACACACCAATAATATGAATTCTAAAGTTGACACATTTCATCGATATAACATTATTTATGTGTGTTGTGTACACTCTGTTAAGTGTAAATGGTGGAAGAGTTGAAGCAACATTTCAGAAAAATATGAGAATATGTTATGTAATTTTTAAATTATAAAGTAGAATTACGAGGAGTTCCAAACAAAAATGAATTTTGGACAATTTTGCCTATAATTATTTTTTAATTCAATCCAAACTGACCCTTAATCTATTAATTTTATGCTACAATTAAATTATTGCTTAGAACATCTATTATAATCACATTTTCTTTGATACATCTCCAATTACCTTTTTATTTTTATTTTTGTTATAATGAGATTTACTATAGTTACCATGTGCATCTTATCTTATTTTACTAAAGTTGTGTTTGTTTGGAGGTTTGGATTTTTGAAAATTTGTAAGTATGGATTTTTAAGTTGTGTTTGTTTGAAGGTTTTGTAACGATTATGTTGGAAAAAATTATTATTATATTGAAAAAAGTAATGTATTGATGTGATAGTTTGAAATATATGATATTTAAATATTGTTAAAATAAATAAAAGTGAAAAAATAAAATGATGTTGGAATTGATTTTTTAAAAATAATTTTTTTATAGAAAAATTTGGAGATATTATTATTATTATTTTTATTTTAAGTGTTTGTTTGGTTGAAGGTTTTGATATTTGTTTAGGAGATTGAATTTTAGATTTGGATTTTTAAGGATTTTGAAGTATGAATTTTTAAGTTGTGTTTGTTTGGAGGTTTGAAATGTTGGACTAATTTTATATTTGTATATTGTATATTTTCAGATTTTGTTGTATTATTCTATGAAATTTTTTATCTTCATCCAATTCTTTTTTACACAAAAATAGCAAATCAAATATTTTTCTATTTTCTATAATTATATAATAAAAATTTATAAACTTAAAATATAAATCATCAACACATAGTATTTATTTTTTACTAATAATATTATTATTTTAAGTTTATAAAAAATTAATAATATATAATAATGAATATATTTATTCTAATGTGCTAATCAATGAATCCACAAGCAACAGCCAAGTTATTTTTGCTTCTCCTTCTTCCTTTCAAATTCTCTCATTTCATTTTTTATTTTTTATTTTTTTTCTTTTTATTTTTTTGTCTTCTTCACCCAGCAGTCTTTACCCATCGTGGATTCGAATCGAAAACTGCTGATTTGAGTTCAGACAAAACCGGCTTTGGTTCGATGATGGTTTCGGAACCGCCGGTGTGAAACCGGAAAACCGGTTTCGGTTCGACGACGCGTGTTTGAAATCGGCGAACCGGCGTTTCCAATGGCCCGTACGAAACCGACTGAACAAGTCTGGACAAGAGAGACTGTGATCATTTCTGACAAAAAGAAAGCTTATGAATCAACAACAGACATAGGTGTTAGGTGTGAGATTTTTAATTTAAAGTCTGTAGTAATTATTAAGTATTTTTTAAATCCAATCGGCCAAACCAACACAACCTTAGTAAAAAAATATTTTAAAAGATTAATTATTTCCTTCATTTCACATATTATGACACAATTTCTATTTTTGTCAGTCTCATATCTCATATCATTCTTTTAAAGGATTACATTCTTTAATTAATTTTTTAATTTTTAATTTTAAATTATATTAATTACTTATTTTAGTCTTAATATATATTTATTTGTATTGTATTGTATTGTAATTAATTTTTTACTAATATATTTTTAATTATTACTAATCATATTCCTCTTAAATTTTTGTATTTGTTGGGAATTTTAGCTGTTCGAGGTCTAACCTGACAAATCCCTCGATAAATAATTAGTTGACCCACTTCGTGGTCCGACCCACCGGATCGGTCCAAACCCTTTAATCCAAACCCACCTTACCCTAAACATAATTAGTTAGGTTGGTTATAACCGTGTGGTTTTTAGTTGGTAAGTTGTGGGTTTGTTATAGAAATTAGTTCGAGGGGCTTTGAGTGTAATCGAGTAGTGTGAAAAACTAGATACACCAAGAGTTAGAGATAGGTGTAGTCGAGAGAGAGAAAGGGGAGACCGAGATGGGAGAAGGAAAGGAGCCGAGAGAAGGATTCCGGTGAGTCTCCGGTGAGGTTCAGGACCTTTATGGCCGATTCCGGTGGGCGTCGAGGCTTAGAGTGACAAGCCGACCTCCAACCTTAAGGCGTGATTACCTCGGGCCACTTCGCACCATGGACTGAGCGGAACGTTGCGTCCCTAACGCCGTCGAAAGAAGATCGGGTTCGAGTTCGTCGGAGAAGATCGGTGCAGCCGCTGGTTAGTCCGAAAGCAGTCGCCTCTGTCCGAGGAGTTCCAGCCGCTCACCGCCGTCGACTGGACCAGTAGCTAGCTGCCTGAGTGTTGTTCAGAGCGAAGTCACCGACTGCCGCCGCTGGATATCCGGTCACTGCTGTGTCGTCACAAGTTGTTGCCATTGCCGAATTCGTCCTCTATCGTTTGCTGGTGGCGAAGCCGCCGCCGACTGCCGCTGTCCGGGTCTGCTCATCGGAGCTTCCAGACGAGCCGGCGCCAGAGGACATTGCGTATTGGAGTTGCTGCCCGTAGCGCCGGTGATGTCGTCGTCTTCGTGAATTGTTGTGGCCGTCGAAATGGAGAAACAAAGACACAAGCGAACAGAGAAGTAGAACATGAAACAGGGAGTTTCATCTTTGATTTAATTGCCTATGTTAGGTCCTGTTTGTTCATGTTTTGATTTTCCTATTTCCAGATATGTGTTTGCCTTGATGTTTTAATTTCAATTTCTTTTCCGTTATATTAATTTGAGTTTATTCGATTTGATCGCTTCCGCTACTAATTTATTGTCGTATTTTGTATACGAGATTTGTTCGATAAATCCAAAGATCCGGGAATAAATTTACAACCGTATTTATAATAACCATGATATCATATCTCGAACTGATGAAATATTACTTAAAATTTGAAAATTAATTTGAATAGTGATATAAATATAATATGGATGACCAATAAAATAATAATAATAATAATAATAATAATAATAATAATAGAATAGAAACAATTATTACAACATAAGTATATTCTAATATTGTAATGTATGTTTTGAATTTGTGCAATTTAGTGTAATAATTGCAATATTTCCACAATAATATTGTTTACTGATAAGAATAGAAAATTCATAAAGATTTCCTTAATGTTATTACCATTTATTAGATAATAAGATCTTACTTCTTTAATATATATTTCGATATATATATATATATATTATGAACTTCCTTAATTTTTATGAGTAGTAAATAAAATTGTTCAGCTTGTCGGATTCGGAACATGTTTCGTTATTGCAGAGACGGGAGAAGACGCGGCATTGGCGGTGAATCATGGCGGCGATGGAGAATTGCCGCTACAATTTGTGTCGGAGCACTATTTGGCTTCATTTTTGTTATCGTCTTCTTACATCCTAACGGATATAAAAATTTATTTGATACATCGTTTGCGGCGAGTATGGATTCAAAGGTGCGAGTTCTTTTTTTTTTTTTTTTCCTGTATATCTAAATTTATGATATCACATTTTTTGGAGTTTGATTAATAAAAATTTTAATAGTAATTTGAATATGATGTTTATATTAATATTATGATCATTGTAAAAAAAACACACACACATATAAAAGGGGATCTTATGGGTGATTTGTATATGAATTTTTTGAATGAAAATAGGTTTATAACTTTATATATTACTACACATATTCCTAGTTTTAGCCATTATTTTAATATGTCTGTGTGTTTATTTTATGAAATTGTTTGAAGGGATATATTTATGATGTAAGATTTTTAAAATTATGTAAATAGTATAAAAATAATGAATTTATATGATATATTAATTTTTTTTGAAAAAATATGTGTGTTGCTTTTATAAAAAGAGCATACCCAATTCTTACCTTTTTTTTTTATATATAATACCTACTATCTTGTTTTTTTCTCACAATATGAATTTATATGAAGAATTGGATTTCTTTTTGGGATTTCAAATTGAAATCAATTTTCATAAAAATATATTATTATTTTTTTACAAAATTTTACATCAAAATACTATTTAAATAAAAATTCAAATCAATCTTTTATTTCTTCAACCTACATCCAAACAAATCCTTATGGGATATGTTTGATGTGAAATATAAAAGTTTTTGTTAGTAATATAAAAAATAATATTTTATTATTAATTTTGATTTTTTGTAAAATATTTAAAATTTTAATTTGAAATAATATTTAATTTTTATTTGTTTAGTTTTATAATTTTAGGTACAAATATTTTTTTATTTTTTATTTTGGTTTCATTGAGGAGTGAAAAGTCAGACATATTACAACTAATGATATTTTGTGTATTTTTGTTAATTTTAATGTATTTTTTTATTGATTTTTATTGTTATGGCTATATATTGTATATTATATTTTAGTATTTTTTTTTGAATAATATTTTTAACAAATCATGTCGAAATAAAATAAAAATGGTATGCTTACTTTGAGTTATTAGAATGGATAATATTATTTTATCAAATAAAATAACATGTTTAATATGAATTATTATGACTCCTAATAAAGAGTAAAGTATATATCATCATAGTAGTGGCGAAAGGAGGATTATTAATTCATCCCTTGTAAGTGGGACTAAATAAGACTAAGTATTAATGTTAGAATATTATTTTATTTTTTATTAATAGTTAAATTAGTATTAATTTTATCATAAAATCAAAGATATTTTAGAAAAAAAAAATTAATAATATTATACAATAATCAATTAAACCAAAAATTAATTATTTTATCATATGATTATATAATTCATTAAAATAATATGATTATATATTATAAATTTATCCCACAAAGTAAACATACTTTAAATAACACACAATATTTAAAAAAAAAAAAAGGTTACTTCAACCTTGATTTCAGTTTATTTAATATATAATTTTTAGGATGTAATTTTTTTAAATTAAATCAAAAGATTGAATAATAAAAACTTCTAAAAACATATTTGAAAATAAACAAAATTTTCTATTTTATGTTGGAAATTTATCTTAATACTATCAATTTTTGTGCATACATTTTTTTATTATTCATTCATTTACTTATTTTCATTGTAAGGTTATAACAAGTTCATCATGCAACACTTCCAAACATCTCAAAAGGTTACAATCAGAGTTTATTGTAGTTTCAAATGAAAACACAAATTTACAAAACCAGATCAAAAAACTCAAAAACAACCTTCATCAAGAAAAGATAAGGAAGAACATTGCTCAAAAAGAGCCCCTCAAGGCGTCGCCGACGAACCCGACGGTTGCGCCGGACGAGTCCGTGAACCCGAGACTTGCCAAATTGCTCGAGGTGGTCGCACCAAATCACGAGCTAATACTCGTTTTGGCAAACTCCAACGACTACATATTCAATGCATTGCGCATTTGGTTGTCGAGTGTCCAAAGACTCGGGATTGGCAATTACCTCATATTCGCCCTGGATGACAATATCGTCCGATTTTGTCAGAACAGCAATCTCCCGGTGTACAGACCCGCTCCGGGCGACGACAACTTTCAAACTCTTGCCATATCAGAAAACAGTCATATTGTCTCAGGATTGAAGTTTCGTGTTCTGCGAGAGTTCTTACTGATGGGATACGGTGTAGTCTTATCTGATGTAGATATAGTTTTCTTACAAAATCCACTAAACTATCTACATCGGGATTCAGATATAGAGGTTATGACAGATGGATATGACAACAAGACTGCGTACGGGCACGATGATGCTTTTTACGATGATCCCGAGGTGGGGTGGGGCCGAGATGCGCATACAATAAGGTTATGGGCCCACAATTCGGGATTTTTTTACATCCGTCCGACGCTCCCGGCTATAGAACTTTTGGATCGGGTGGCGGCTAGACTAGCCCGGGAAAATAATGCTTGGGACCAGGCCGTGTTCAATCAAGAGCTTTTTATCCCGTCGTATCCAGGATATGGTGGGCTCCATGCTTCGAGAAGAGTGATGGATTACTTGCTTTTTATGAATAGCAAAGTACTGTTTAAGATTGTTCGAAAAAATATTGAACTTCGAAAAATTAAGCCCGTAATCGTTCATATTAATTATCATACAGAAAAGTATGAACGAATGAAGGCTGTTTTCGATTATTACATCTTTGGGAAGCAAAATGCGCTTGATTCTTTCCCCGATGGCTCGTGGCCATATGAAGAAACATCTTAGTCTTCGACTCGGTGGATTGAAGAGTTTTTAGGGAATAAGAATTTTCGATCTTATGTATTGCTTTGATAAAATTATTCAGATTTAGAATCTACATTTATTGATTTTAATATTTTAAACTTTATAATGTATTTTTAAAAATGTTTTTATAAAGGGTAAATATTTAAGTTTGCTTTAAAATACTATTATTATTATAATTGTTATTATTATTATAGCCAAAACTCTGCATAGAGCATTCACAATATTACTACACTGCGGATGTATTTATTTATAATTTTTTAAGAGATGGTAAAGTTATACTTCCTCCGTCCCACATAATTTGCCTCTATTTTTTATTTTCGTTCGTCCCACATAACTTGTCATTTCTATTTTTGGAAATATAATTATGCACTTTAATCGCATTTTAAATTTTAAATTTTATAATTTTTTTAATTTTAATTAAACTATTTACTTATTTTAATCTTAATCTATAATTATTTTTACTAATATACTTCTTAGTTACTTATTAATTATACTTTACCTAAATTCCCGTGTATACAGTAATACACCCATATTACATGGGACGGAGGGACTATTTGTTAATGTTTACTATGTTAAAATATTATTTAAATTCAAAGTCAAATTCAATAAAATATATATATATATATATTAATAAGTTATTGATATATAATAAATAATATCATTTTAAAAAATAAATGTTCTTATAATAATAAATTTTCACTCAACTGATTAAGAGGGTGTTTAACAAAGACCTTTTTGAAGAGTTTTTAACTTATTGAACAGTTTTTAGCTATTAACCGGTTAAACAACTAATTTAGGTATTTGGTAAATTAGCTTTTCGAAATAGCTTTTTGGACCTAAAAAGCTAATTTCTGAAAAACTAACTTACCCAGCGTTTTAAAATAGTTTTTCCAGTTTAAAATTTATTATGCAATTTAAATAAATAAATATATTTTGATTATTTATTAATTATATTAGAATATGTTATTATATTATAGTTTTACTTTTACAAATTTAGAATAAATAATTTTTATATATAAATTATTTTAATTGTAAAATATACAAATTTAATAAAATCAACAAAAATTAGAAAATATAAATATTAATAATTTATCTTTATATTAAAATTACATTATATAAATTTTATACTTAAAAAATTAAATAAATTAAATTTATTGAAAATTATAAATATGACGAACTAATTGATAATTAACATAATAAATATATAAAAAATTATTATATTATATTTTATATTATTTTCAATAAAAAACTATTTATATTTTTTAATAAAAATATATTATTTTTAAAATTTAACTATAACAAAAATAAATAATATTTCATAACATTTTTACAATTTTCAATAACTAATAACAAAAAATTTCAAATATTCAACACTCAAAAGAACACAATTGAATATATTAGAAAAAATTAAAATATAAATGTCCTCAATTGTCATTTTACATATAAACATCTAATATCAAACAGTTGTTTTACCAAACATTTTAATACAACCAACTAATCAAATCAGCTAGTCAAACCACCTAACTGAATCAGCTAATAGCTATCAGCTAATTGTCGAACACGCCCTAAAGCAGTAAGTGAAACTTCATAAAATATATATTATAAATAATATATATCAAATTAAGAAAAATTGAAACCCAATCCTAAGTCAAGCTTGATTCAAGAATATTCAGAATTGTAAAATACTAAAATTGTACTCCCTCCATCCCAAACAAGGTGCAACATTTGTATTTTGCATAGGTTTTTAGTTGGATAGTATTAAATATGATAATTTAAAAATTAGGTGATGTAATAAATAAAAAAATATATATAAATTTTTTTTATTTGAATGATATGAAGGCATCTTCAGTAACATTGACTGAGACAGAGGGAGTATTTTGCGTCTTCAGTGACATCGTCAATGCCAAACCACCATCCACTATAAAATATTACAATAAAAATAAAGAATATAGTAAAAAAAAATAAAATTATAAGCTACATCAATCAAGGCACTTAAGAATTTATATATATATATATATATAATTTACCAAAAATTTTGACATTATTAAAATATAGTAAAATTTAAGTTTTCTATCAGAAAAAAAAAAATAATATTAAAAACTCAATCAAATGGAGTATAATTTACAAAAATCAGAAATATAAGATACATACCCAAGTGTAGTAATATTTAATTCCATCATTAAATCAAATGGAGTATAATTTACAAAAATCACATTAAATATCTTATAAAATCTTTTGTATAACTAAAAAAGATGTGAGTAGATTCAACATCCACAGATGATTGAGATTTTAATGTGGATGATACATTTTATTAAAAAATATTTATTTGATTTTGATATTAAATAATAGTTGATTGAATATTTTATAATATAAAAATATTTTTTTAAAAAAAATAAAATTCAATAAATCTTAGTATTAAAGAAACACACACAAAGCCAATTATAATATAAATTATCCGTCCCACTTAATTTATTCATTATTTTTAGTTCCGTACATCCAACATAATTTGCTTTTTTTTTTCTAAAAAATATAATTATACACTTTAATCACATTTTAAAATTCATAATTTATAAAAAAATTATATTAATTAGATTATTTAGTCATCTTAATATATAATTATTTTTATAAAATCATAATTATTTTTACTGATATATTTTTTAATTAATTACTAATTAAACAATATTTAAAACTGCCTAACTAAGCTAAACAAAACAATTTGTTGGATTAAAAATATTTGAGCTATCAGTGAGACGTCACTAAATCTATTAAGTAATCTATTAATTTACTGTGTTTAATGTATTTAGTAAGTGCAAGTCTAATGTACAAAAACTCACTAACTTATTAATTGAGTGACAAGGATAGATTTGTGATCTCAGGTCCAGCAATATTCATTATTTTCCATATCTCATCATGAGACTACCGGTAAAAACTTAGCGATTTCTCATCGAGGAATTGCGCATAGACTTGTAGATTTGAATTTGAAAACATTAATATAATAAGTTTGATTTAATTTGTTTTACTCTATTGTCTCAATCGTTTCAACCCGACATATCTTTGGATTTAGGGTTTAAATTTATGACAAGTTCCGACGCAATTTAGGTGGAAGAATATAAAGCATCACAACAATACCCAAATTTGCTGTAGTGTAGTTCGTCTTCACCTAAAAGTTGAGATCAGCGGTCAAGAGGTGAACCTCAAATTGAAGTCATAATCTCTCTCTCTCTCTCTATCTCTCTGTCTACTTTTATTTTGTTTGTTTTTCTGATTCTCCCCAAAAATTTGTGCCTTTTCTCGTTTGAACGCATGTCCAAAAAGCGACAGCTGTGGAGTCCGATGATCATCGTACCCTTTTTCTCTCCACAAATGCGATGCGCGTGCCTTCTCTCCCATCCTCATTTCATTCCTGCTCCTCTTTTACCTTTCACCCTCCCAAAACGCTGCCGTTTTGTCGATCCAATTGAAGGAATCTTCCGGCGCCGCCGATCGATCTGAAGAACACTTCTGGTCGGTAAGAATCTACATTTCAATTGTCGTTTTCTTGCATTAGCTTCCCGAATTCGAAGTCTCTCTCTTTTACTTTTTCACCTCCACGTTTTTAGTGCCTTTGGTTTTAGGTTTTGGAGTTAGTTTTTGGCTTTTTGAATTAATGTTTGTTGTGATATAAATGAAGAATAATAATAATAAAATAAAAAAAAAACTAAAAAAAAAAGACTGTATAGCAAAATTATGGTTAAAATCAAACATTATCTTATGCAGTTTCGGACAATTACAGCAATGGATTCATTTGGACTTTTTTTATTTTTTATTTTTTATTTTTTTTTATAACTCGATGCCACATAAATGCTTATACTGTAAAATAATTTTCAATGAATAATACGAAGTTGAGTTTGAAGGGGAAATGGCGTTATGTTTAGATAGAGCTTTTTTTAAGCTTTGGAAATTTTCTAAAATAAAGGTGATTATTTATTGCAATATTTTGTAAAAAAAAATAAATAAATAAAATAAGGACATTCAATGTTACATTTATGGGCCCAACATGAACGTTTTTTTTTAATCAATTTAAATAATAATTTTGACATGTTTTTTTTTTAATTTTTTTTATTTATGAATATGAGGAATGAATTGTAAAAAAATAATAAGGAAAACGACCATTTATGATAAGTTGTATAGTATTACAAGATTGGATTTTGGGTGTAAGAAAGCATCAAAAGTGTGGAGTTGTAGTTAATTGTGCTTGTTTTGACTAATATGGTTTCATTTATTTATTTTTTTTGTATGGGATTTGTTCATTTGTATTTTAAATTTATCTTCAATACAAAATATCACATCAAACAATTACGTTCATCTCAAGGAAAAAAAAAACAAAAAAAAAAAAAACCCTCAAAAGAACACATCAATCGTTCTGTGATCATTCTTTCATTGTGATGAGTTTATTCTTTTATTGTTTAAACCTAATTGAAATTTTTGTGCTTTTTACATTCGGTTTTTTTTTTTTTTTTTTTTTCGGTAGGTTTCTAAATCTTATTTTAACTTTAGAACATGAAACTCAAATTAAGAAAGCGATGGCAATCCGTCGTACCTCTTCATATGCAAGGCAAATTGTCGCCAAGGTTTTGTTTGTTCCATAAAGTTCGGACCGCAAGCTTTGGCCCTGATGAAACTCCCGTTTATCTCAATGTGTATGACTTGACTTCGATCAACGGCTTATTTTTTTGGGCCGGTGTTGGTATCTTTCACTCTGGGGTCGAAGGTACGTAGATGCTCTAAAATACAACACACACACACACACATATATATATATCGATAGATATGCATATCTTGTTCAATTAAATGTGCTCATTTTCTATGGATCTAACTTTATGCTTTCGATGTGTCAAGATTCTTTGATGCGTGAAATTTAGATATGATATTTTCTTTGAAGATAATATTGTTTTTGAGAATACGGAGAAACTAATCTTGGTTTTTGTTTATGGTATTGAATCATTTGGCAATGTTCGGAAAAATTCTCAATATGTTACAAAATGAGTTTTGGCATAGATATGTACTGTATATGGTGTTTTGAATGAAAATTTGATACCATAATTGTGTTTTGATGGAAAGTAGAAACATTCTGTAGATTGAATAGTGTAAAAAATGTAAGTAAACATTACTACGATCTTTTAGTTTTACTACAAATGATCGATTTGATTTTGATTTTGTTTTCTATGTCAAACATAATATTAACATTTTAAGTCAATCATAAGGTTGAATTTACGAACATGAGCTCATTTCCGATGAGGTTTTGAGTTTTGTCGAATTCATCTTGTTGCCACCCCTGGCTAAATAAAGACGAAATCGGACTTTACTATGACCGAGTTAAATTCGATGTAGTTTCATTTTGGCTTGAGGTTGAGTACAAACTCAAGCGTAATCGAATCCAAACAAAAAATTATATAGGGACAAATGTGTAATTTTTCACTCAACATGAGTCGAGCTTGAGCTCATTTTTCTGAATTTGATCGAAAGGTTTCATCTTGCAGTGTACGGTACCGAATACGCTTTCGGAGCTCACGAGTATCCCACAACCGGCGTCTTTGAAGTGGAACCACGGCAATGCCCCGGCTTCAAATTCCGAAAATCAATCCTCATAGGCACGACGAGGCTAAACCACGACCAAGTCCGTGAATCCATCGAACATCACGCGAAAAGATATTGGGGCGATGCGTACAACTTGATTGCCAAGAATTGCAACCATTTCTCCTGCGACATTTGCCACCAATTGACCGGAAATCACATACCTAAGTGGATCAACCGTCTCGCCCGAATAGGTTTCTCGTCTCTACACCACTTTTTCTTTTCACTTTTTTTTTTCTATGCAATCTTTATAATTTTCTAAAAAACATAATCTCTCCGTCTCATATTTATCTATCCGTTTGTTTTTTGCACGGAGTTTTAGAAATATTAGTATTATATTTAGATGTAGTAGAAATAAAAGTAAAAAGACTAAACTAATCTTATTAGTATTGTATGCTACAAAAGTAATGACATTTGTGTAATATATTGTAAATTTGAAGGGTATTTGTAATGTTAAGTACATAGTACATTTACTTAAAAAAATGAATAATTTGTTATAAAAACAGACCAAAATGGAAAAATTGATAGATTGTTTAAGGATGAAGGGGGTATTATTTTTTTCTCATAAAATATAGATCAATTTTTTCACATGACCTCAATCTTCGACTATATTACATATATGTATATGTATATATGTATACTTACACTTATGATCGTGTAGGTTCGTTCTGCGGCTGCATATTGCCAAAGTCTATCAAGAAAACTACGGTAGGACCGAATTGTGGACATCCCGGGAATGAGAAGATCTGTGTCGTGAAGAAGTCGTTGAGAGTGTTTTCTTCGATATTTCGGAAGGAAAAGGAAGGTTCTATATCATCATGGTTCCTACATTCTCATTACAAGGGGTGTTTGATGACTCCATGGGAGCTTAAGAAGTCTTCCAGTAAATCTTCACAACAAGAATAGTTTTTCTTTTTTTTAATTTTTGTGGGATTGGGCAATATTTTGGGTGTGAGATTTCAATTCTTATGCTGATCCATGGATTCTTTTCTTTTCTTTTTTTTTTTTTTTGTGAAAAAAGAAAATGTGGATTTTTTGTGAATTAGATACCTTGTGGCTTGGTGAGTGTAAGATCATCTTGAAGGAGAAAATTGGGTGCTGATAGGGGTAATTTTGTCATTTTGTATGGGAAGTGAAGGGGCATTGCCGTCTTTTATGCCTGTGGTTAGTTTTATAAATTCGTTTTATTACTACTTTTTATGCTATTAACACATAACCGGAGCATACAAGGTCAACTATGATCGCGCGTCCAATAGCAGACTGCCACGTCATATTAAACACAAAATCTGACGCACCAGAGCCCGAAACCCTCTACAGTTCCTTCTCGTCCAGTTCCGTCCAGTTCGAACATTTCCCACACGTAATAACATTATCGCGTTTTTGGAACATCGACTTTGGTAGTAGTCGGGAAAAACTGCACCATTCGAATCTCCTGCAGTTTTCCGCCGGAGCAAACCCTCCGCCAGTGCCAAACCCTCACTCGCGAGGTCGGACGCCATGTCGAGGTATTTCGGCGCTCTGCTGTTGATTTGTTCTGCGCTGTTTGTGAATTTCTGTGCCTCGTTCTCGGAAGTAAGCCCCGCAGATCGACGGGTTTTGGTACTGCTCGATGATTTAGCGATTAAGTCGTCGCATTCTATCTTCTTCAAGTCACTGGAGTCCAGAGGATTCGACCTCGATTTCAAGCTCGCCGACGATCCGAAGCTCGCCTTGCAGAGATATGGACAGTATTTTTACGATGCCGTTGTTCTCTTTGCCCCGACAACCGATCGTAAGTGCAGCTTGAAATCGACGCTGTAATTTGCGTATTTGTTTAGAAACTCTGGATTTTTATTTGCTTGAAACTTTGAGATTTACTGGCTTCAATGTATTTTCCTGAGGTGAAATGGTAATTGCTAATTTGTGTGTTTTTTCATTTTTATTTATTTTAAAATGCTAAATTAGGGTTTGGTGGTTCCATCAACGCGGCATCATTACTAGAATTTGTTGATTCTGGTCGTGATTTGATTCTCGCGGCTGATTCATCGGCTTCGGAATTGATTCGTGATATAGCGGTTGAATGCGGGGTTGACTTCGATGAGGTAGGCTATGCCTTTGTAAATCTATCCTTGAGATGCTGTAATTTAGAGTTTTGGAAAATATGTTAATGTGGGAGATGATTATAATAGGATCCAGCAGCCATGGTGATTGATCACACAAGCTATGCAGTTTCAGAGATGGAAGGTGATCATACATTGGTTGCTGCTGATGATTTCATTCAATCGGAGGTTATATTGGGTAACAAAAGGATAGAGGTGATTATTCTTGTTGTTGTCCTTTCAAGCTGTTTGGTTAGGTAATGCTATGGCTGTCACTGGCATGACATTATTGACATCACAAAATATTATTTCAGCAAGTATTGCTGGGTGCATAATTCGATCATCAAGAGAATGGGAGTGCTTGCTCTGCCTCATTGGTCTGTGTGTTTTTCTTGCATGCTATTTGGTGGAAATATTTTGTGTAAAATTATCACATTGGTTTGATCATCTACTTTGAGTGTTTATTTCCCCATTTTGTCATTAAGGGCATAGACTGGTGTGTGCAAATACATAGATTGATATTATAATGTTGAGTGTGAAGTTGCCACAAACCTATATTTTACAATTTGCTGTTTTTTGTTTTCATATTTTGGTTAGTATATTTATGATTGGTTGTGATGCAGGCTCCTGTGCTTTATAAGGGAATTGGTCATTCAATCAGTGCCACAAACAATTTTGTAAGATATATATATATGTACATATTTTTTTTTCTTTTATAAGCATAGAGTGTGTACTGTGCATCATTAGTATTATCTACTGCTTTCAAATAATAATAAATCCTTCTCAAAATTTCAGGGCCTAAAAGTTCTCTCAGCTTCTCCGGCCGCATATTCTGCCAACCCAAACTCAAAATTGTCAAATCCCCCCACTTTGACAGGGTCGTCAATCTCTCTAGTTTCAATTGTGCAGGTATGTCAGTTAGGAAAATACTTGACAAATTCTTCACTTAAGGAATGTCTATGTTCTTGCTTAGATACTGGCTATGTGCAATTGCAACATAATGCCATGCAATGGATGCTTGTAATTAATCACATCAAGCTTGTATTATCTTAAATTTAAAATTCTCTCAATTATTTTATTTTATTTTTAGTTTATTGAACATTAAAATTTGCCCTCGCTATAAGCGACCACTTGGTGGTCTGTCTCCAACAAACCTTTGGGCCTGATGCACAAACCCACTTCCTGTAAAAGAAAGAAAAGAATTTTCTGGTGAACACTAGTATCGTTAGGATGTTAGTTGTGATTATGTTTTTGACAACAAGTTCACAAGTCACATATCTAAGTGTCTGTAAATGGTTAATAAGTTCCCATTTTATGATTATGGGAAGGCATGAGGCACTGTTTCTCTTGAGCTTGGCAAACATCCTCACTTTTCATTTGAGGTATTGTCTGATGACATTTCTTTATTTGATATTATATCTTTGATGTTTGATTTTTTAGGCAAGAAACAATGCTCGGATTCTGATATCTGGCTCACTAAGCATGTTCAGCAACCGGTTAGTAGATTATGTTGGTCCTTCGTTAACATGAAATCATGCATTTTTTATTTTTTGGATGCCTTTCAGGTTTTTCCGATCTGAAGTACAGAAAGCCGGAAGTGCTATAAAGTGAGTTTTAATGCCAGAATTTTTACATAGTGTTGATCATCATTTTACCTTTGAATATCTGAAGAGCTTATATATCTCAGTGAAAGAGATTTAAGGGTCACTCAAAAAAATGTTTGAATGGAGAGGTTGGACTCATATAGCTCCAGGAATTTCTTTATGGTAAAACTCATGGTCAGGGTATGATGGAGAATATGCTTGTCGGTGTTGCTAATAGGAGTTGATTTTCATCGAAGTATAAATGTAATTGTGTTCCCAGTTTCAACACTTTAAGGGTGTGTTTGTTTGGGGGATTAGATTTTAAATCCACTATTCATCCCATTTCTTTTCCCCCAAAAACATCAAATCAAACACCTATTTTCATTTTTTATATTATACTAAAAATCAATTTTACATTCAAAACATCACATCAACACCTATTTATATCACATCATACAACTATTCAAATTCAAAATTTTTACTATTCAAATCCCAACTCAAAATCCAAACCCTCAAACAAACACACCCTAAATGAATAGTACATCTTTTGATTCACAGAGATTAGGAAAGTGGCAAGTTTAGCTTTGTCAATATGATGGGGAAGCACATTGAGATGGGGAGTGTGTGATGAGGAATTTGTTGTGTCTGTATTTCTGTGAGGAATTAATATTATTGTAGAATAATCATTATTAATCTCCCTGTTTCAAAATTTTAAAGTTGCAAGTACTTTGATGAACAGACTTGAGAAAAGTGGGAATGAGCAGTTTTTGACCGAACTTAGCAAGTGGGTTTTCCATGAAAGAGGGCATCTGAAGGTTTGCACTTTGCACAAGCTGTTTGATTCTATGGCACTGATCTGTTTGGTCCTTTCATTTACATTAAAGCAAAATGTTCGTTCAAAGGCATTTTGCTGCTTTCAACCCTTGAGTCTTATGATTTTTTTGTTATTTCCATTAATTGTCTTTTCAACATTTTTTATGGATATTCCTATTTCCAGGCTGTTAATGTCAGGCATAACAAAGTTGGCGAAGTAGATGAACCCTCAATGTACAGGATCAAAGATGACCTGGTATTAATGTTTAGCCAGAAGTGTACTTCCTTTCAAGAATAAATCAATTAGATTAACCAGATGGATGGTTGAATTAAGGAATTGAGAACACTTTCTTCGTTTTGAAGCACTACTCTGTTGAAGTCTATGAATGGTCCGGTTCGAGTTGGAAGCCATATGTGGCTGATGATCTGCAAGTTCAGTTTTACATGATGAGCCCATATGTTCTGAAAACCATGTCAACTGATAAGAAGGTGCTATATTTATTTATCATAGGGCCCAGTACTCGATTGCAATATTCACTCTTTCAACTTTTATCACTCTGTTTTGCGTCCCTCAATATATTATTATTCTCTACAGGGCCTGTATTATGCATCTTTCAAGGTTCCCGATGCTTATGGTGTTTTCCAATTCAAGGTCGAGTACCAGAGACTGGGATATACACGCTTGAGTTTATCGAAGCAGGTAGATATTGTTAATTTATGATATTCATGTATTTAAACTTCAGTTGTTACCAATCATTCTGTCTTCTTCTCTATTCCCCTGTAATTGTCTATTGGCGCAGTTTTCAACTTTTAATCCTTTGGGGATCTCTCTGTTCTATTTAGTGAAAAATAGTTATACTGATTATTGATGAGTTATTGAACATTTCCGTTTACTGGTTGCATTCTCAAACTGAAATAAGCTTTTTTAGTAACTATGTTATTACATAAAAAGTTTTATGGAATTGGTTTTGGACATGTGAACTCACCTATCTGTCGAAATTTCTGTGGTGTTGTGTACTAAAACACTCTAATCACTGAAAATTCTGGTTGATCGTAAATTTCTGGTTTTCTATTTCTTGTATATGCTTGTATCTGAAGGTCCCACCTCCATGTTTGGAGACGAATGAACTGTTTGTTAGTTCTGTGAGCCGTTGCTTTGCAGGCTCCTAAAACATCCTTATTGTTTTAATGCTACTTTACTTCTCAGTGAACACGGTAAGACGAATGAACTGTTTGTTAGTTCTGTGAGCCGTTGCTTTGCAGGCTCCTTATTTGTTTTAATGCTACTTTACTTCTCAGTGAGCACGGTAATGCATGCAAGCACTCGCTAAGTCATCTTTGTATTGTGATGTGCAGATACCTGTTCGACCTTTCCGACATAATGAGTATGAAAGATTCATTACTGCTGCCTTTCCATACTACGGAGCATCTTTCTCAATGGTACCATCCTCAAAATTTTATATTCCTGCTATTTAATACACACTTTCCATAGCAGTATCGGCACAAGGTCTTCATCTTAAACCTTTTTGATAAAATCCTTTGGGGTTGAAGTGGCAAGAATATTACTCCCTTCATCATTTAAATTTGCTTAAATTTTTGGGCATAGGTTTTAATGTGGATGACAAATTTTATTACTTTTTGTGTTTAATAGTACAAAAAGTAAGATGATTTTTTACTAAAAGGCTAAACGGTAATAGTTTTTATGACTTCTAGAGAAAAAGTGAGTATAAATTTAGATGGAGGGAGTGTTAGTTTTAGCATATAACTATATATATATCATAAATATATATGTATATATTTTATTAATTTCTTTATTGTCCACAGTCTCACTTATTTTGCTTAAAAAGAAAATGCTCGTTCGATTTGGTTATCTATACGTATACCTCTTTTCGTTCCCTATATTCTGTCAAGCTCGTGATGTTGGCTTTCGGATGGATTTTAGAAACCTGTTATATAAATGTTCGCATTTGTTGTCTTCAAAATCCATTATCTTTCATTGCACTCCAAGTAGACTTTTGCACTTAAGCCGTTATGCTGCAAAACACTCGATGACCCTATGACAAACATAGCGACTATTATACCAGAAACCTGCAGCTGTAAAATCATCTACATTTTGGATCGAAAGCATACAGAAATTACCATGTTATGATGCTGCATGTGTTGTTTTAATTAGAAATATGAATTGCATTGTGAAAATTTAAAGTACCAGCTTACAGGAACCGCCCTTTTACATTTTATTTTCCTTGTAAACATCGTCGATGCAGATGGCGGGGTTCTTTGTCTTCTCAATGGTGTATCTCTACACAAAGTAGTTGCGAAGAGTGAATCGAATACCGAATACCGGGGTTGAAAACATGAGTAAGAACTCTTCATCTTATCTCATTTCATCTCCTGCGTTAAATTGGATTTAGAGAAATTTTGTTAAGAGATATTTAGGGATTCACTATATATATGTTTTCAATTTGGAATCACATTTTATGTGTAGGGATTGTTTGTTTCTTTAGTGGTTGTATTCATTGCCTGCCAAGAAATTGATCATGAAATGCTAACATGACAAACACAAGAACTAATGTCGAATTTTATATACATAAGACTCGACTCGGCTCGTGCTGGAATTTACCATCTTGTTTGGATCCGATGCTGAATTAATTGTCTTTTAGCATAGGTTTGAATTTGCATGGTCAGTTATCAGTTTATACACAGGTTTTTTAAGTTTTTCAAATTTTGGGAATAGTAAAAAATTGAGAATTTAATGTCATATTTTGTGATATGAATAGCGTGTAAAGCATGTAAACAAGAGGACGGCAAAAGAAATAGAATAGAGGGTTTGCTGAATATATAAGCAAAATTTCTTATTCGCTTTCCAAATAATATATGTAATACTACTTTCATTTGTTCCATATATTTATTGTCATTTTAAATATATGGAACAAATGGTTATATATATTTATTTTGTCAACTTCGATGCTTCTCGGTCCACTTGTCACACATGGTTCGCCTAGTGTGATTTGCTTTGTCAGGTCTAATTTGCATAGTTTAGATTGGTCGGGGGTTTGTCCAGTGTGCACTTTCGGGTAGCGGCTGCGAATTTTCATGTTATTAAAAAAAAAATTATGTTTTACTCTTTTGTTTCAATACATAGGTGTGAACCTTTGTAAGTATATTTTTTTTCATGGTTGTAGTCAGTATATGTCATATTATAAATATATAATGGTCATTTTTTTATAACATATGTTGATACGTCGAAATCGGCATGGTGCTGATTTGATTGGATTTATCATTGATTCATGCCCATTTTTTATATACTATCATATTTACTATAAAAAAAAATACTATATATTCGAGTGTATCTTTTTGCGGTTTTTTAATAAATTAAGAAATAATATTATATTATTGTATTTATTAATATCAGATAAAATAATTATAAATTAAGTAATATAAGTATTATTGATAATTGAGTGTAATAATGATATTAACTAATTATAATTGCAGCTAATCTTTTAACCATTGATTTAATATAAACATGGTAATAATCTTGAATAATATTTTAATTTATCATATACTATTATTCTTTCTCTTATTCAAATTTATTTTTTTTTTTTTTTTATTTTTTGTTATCTAAATTTATTTTTGTTTTTTTAAGTAAAAAAATATATTATTTTTTCTATTTTTTTATCCTATGAAATAAAAGTTTTTACATTTAACTATTACTCCATGTCCAGTTACGTATTTAGGACATACAAAGTAACTGTTTCATTAAATATTTTACTTTTTTTTTATAAATATCTTTACTTTACATCGCATCATTATTTTTATAAAAAAAATAAAGATAAAAATGTTATTACGCTATTTTTAAGTATTTATTATAATTAAAATACTTTTCTCCGTCCACAAACTAATATCCTATTTTCCTATTTGGGACGTCCAATAACTATTGTCCTATTTATTTTTTCTAACACAAATTTTTTATTTTTACTCTTTATTCATTTATTACTTTTAATTTCTACTATACAATTATGGGCAAATTTGTCAATTATTAAAAAAAAACAATCACCTAAAAAATTGTACAAATATATTTTAGGATAATAGAGATTGGACGGAGAGAGTAGTATTATTTTTTAAATTCTGCGCCAAAAGTAAATGTATATTTATTGTTTAAACGGAGGGAGTATTATTAATTCATATTTATATTCTTTCTTTATTTTTAAAATTTTTTAATAAATACCTTCAATTATATATTTTTCAATAAAATATGATATTTCTTGATCTTGATCTAAAATGAGCTAAAATTGGGGGGCGAATAGAGTACATGTGTGCTATGATACATAGTATATTTCTTTATTTGCCTATGAAAGTTATATTTACTTTATTTAGCTATGTCCATCAATTTTATATTATAAATAACAATTTATTTTTTTAAAAAAAATCTACTTAACCATCACTGTTTCTTAAAATATGATAATAATTTTGGTATTGCTGTTATGTTACAAATATACTTGAATTTTACTCTAAACACATAATTCTAAATTTGTTATTATCGTTGCATCACATACACTGTCAATTAAATATGTCATTATCATTTAGTACATATGCACTATCATAATTAGTGTGTTAGCGTGGCGATTTAGATTTTTGTTTGGGATTTAAAATATTAAAAATTTTGAATTCGAATAAGTTAATATAAATAGGTATTGATGTGATATTTTGAATATTAAATTAATTTTTAGTGTAATATAAAAAGTGAAAATTAGATATTTGATTTAATTTTTTGGGGAAATTTTTTTTTTTATTAAATAGTAAAAATTTATGAAAATTTTGTAAGCGAACACATGTGTGTTTGCTTGGGGGTTTGGATTTTGGATTGAGATTTGAATATTAAAAAAATTGAATTAGAAATATTGATGTAATGTTTTGAGTGTAAAGTTAATTTTTAGTATAATATAAAAAAATAAAAATAAATACTCTCTCCGTCCCATATATATCTCTTTGCTTTTTGCATGAAGTTTTAAAAATATTAATATTATATTGGGATAAAGTAAAAATAAAAATAAAAAATATTATATTTGTAATGTTAGGTTGACATAACAATTAATAAAAAAATAAAATTGATACTATTATGGGACATACCAAAATAAAAAAAAAATAAATAGATTGTTAAAAAGGAACAAAGGAAGTATTTAATTTAATATTTGTTAGAAAAAAAAAATTATATAAATAATAAATTTCCCCCAAAATTCTTCAAACAAACACACAATATATTTTATAATAAACGTTGAAAACATCTCTGTATACTTTCTATTTTTATGTTAAAATAAGTTTTTTTTTTTTTTTTTTTTTTTCACTCAACCAAACAAAGATATTTGGGTTGGGTTTGCTTGGCGGCGGAGTACTAAATAAATAAAATTTAATTAAAATTGTAACTTTTGTTCATGATATAGACTTTTCAATTACTCTATTTGTTTATAAATTTTTACCATTTCATAAGAAATTATTCTTATAAAATATTAACTCAAATACTCTTTTATCTTCAAACACAAAGTATTATTTTCTTTTTAATATTTTTATTGGTCTAATTTAAAAATATTTTTTTTTTATATTAACTAATAAAATATTAAATATATTCTTATTTTTTATTAATTTATTAGCTAAATTTACTTATTATTAATTTTGACAGTCAACAAACATATTATAACTTTTAATTTCATATTTATTTACAATAAATCACTATCTTTATTATATTCTCTCTTTTTACTTTCTTTAATTTTTAATTAAATTTTTTTAAAAAATTAATTATTATTATTTTTTTATCATTTTTAAATAAAATATATATCTTTTAAAAAAATTTCGTATCAGATCCAATATGGTCATTTTTACCAAAAAAATATTACACCATTTTCGTATAGGAAATATCAACATCTCTTATACACTTTTACACTGACCAATAAAATACTATTATTTTTTTAATTTACTACAAAATTAAAAAAAAAACCCTTTGAAAAAAAGGAAAAAAAATACTTTTTTTTTAATATATTACAAAAAAAATATAATAATAATAATATGCACTAAAAGGGAGTAATATTTTTTAAATTAAGTTAAAAATTAAATTTTACTATTAAAAATTTAAACTCAAAACTCACACCACATAAACACATCCCAATATTAATGCTTTCTTTCCGGTAAATAATAATAATAATAATAATAATTCTTTCTTTGCTTCTTATATTTTGTATATAAGTAATAATTATATTTTGTCATAGAGAAACTAATATATATATCATATTATTTATTTTGTAAAATCATTTGAATAGATATTTTCATATAAGGTATAAAAAAAATTATGTAAATAATATATAAAAATTATTATATTTTCAAATGAGATAGACAAAAATAAGTAAAAAATAATATAATAATAATTTTTAAGATAATATGATGTTTAAGATAATTTTGTTTAATTAGTTAATAATAGTAAATTATGATATTATTTTATTATTTATTTATGTAATTAATAATATTAGTAGTTTTTAAAATAAATTTAATAATTTAATTAAAAATTAGAATATATATTTAAATATTTTAAAAATTATATCACATAAAAAATTATATGCAATATAATTATTAGTTTATAAAAGAATAAAAATTTCTATGGTACAAGTAAATAAAAAATATCGTATATTTGTTTATAATTAATATAAATTAATTTAATAAAAAATATGTTATTTTAAATATAAATAAAAATATTTATTCTTTAAAAAAATATAAAAATAAAAAAAATTTAAATGGCCCTCTGTAATGAAAACATGTTAATTAAGTTGAGAGAGAGAGAGATAAAGAGAGATAGAGTGTGAAAACAAATTGTTCTTTCCCTCCCTCACCTACCTGCTCTCTCTCACTCCATCGCCATTTCCAAGGAGAAGGTGGTTTCGTATTATCACTAATTAAGCCACTACTTCGATTCATGCCCGCATTGTTATATTTCTACTGTTCTCTTTTAACTATTTTCTGAAACTTTGTTTGCCTCGTCATCCCCTCTTCCTTTTTGGTAAATTTTGCAGGAAAGTATTGTTTTTAGGGTTTTTGATTTTTGAGATTATTATAATTATCAATATTTTTTTTTGTATGTATTTATACTTTATAGGTGATTTAATTGCTGAACAGCATGATGATTGGGAGATTTGAATCATATAACGATTGTTTAGTTAAGGTTTAAGGTTCTGTGTTTGCATTTTTGAAATTTGTGGAATAGAGGTATCGAATCGAGTATTTTTATGGTGGAACTGATTGATTAGTTCGTAGCTTTTTATTTGATTTGATTCGATTCAATTTAATTTATCTAGGTAAAGTTTTAATGTTGATTGGCGCTAATTTAGGCTTATCTTCTAGCCTGGATGATGTTTGTGGTGTTCGTTCTGTTCTGTGGGTTATAAACCAGATTGTAGTTCTTAATCACTTTTTTCAGCCATTTTAGCATGCTGATGTATTGTTTCTGCTGATTTTCATTGATTGAAGCTTAATGTGGGAATCGATTTAATGGTGAAAGGGTTAATTGTGTTTGTTTATATGTGTTTTGGTTTTGCTTCTGTAGTTTTGAGGTTTCAGAAATTTTGTGGTGAAAATGAGATATGATCTTTTGTAATGTAAAATAGTCGTTGAATGTAATGTTGTTTGGAAGAAAAATGCAAAGTGTAACTAAAATTGAAAGATATGTAAGCAAAAGATATGAAAATAGATTTCCTTTTTGTTTTGGTAGTTTCGAGTTTTAGAAATCTTGAGGCGAGATATGATCTTTCGAATATAACATAGGCGAATGAAATGTTCATTTGAAGAAAATGGAAAGCGTATAAAATTGAAAGCACACGTTTAACACAACTTCGAAAATAGGTTACATTTTTGTAGCACTATTTTCGGGTTTCAGAAATTTTGAGGCAAACATGAGATTTCTATGTATAATAGCTGTTGAACATAATGTTGTTAGGAAGAAAAATAGAAAGCCTAAATAAACACATAACTTTGGAAATAATCTTCATCTTGTTTAGTCGGGGTTGTTTCTGCGACTTGTGTTTGTTGTTGTCGGGCCAACTCATAGGTTATTAGCATATACTCCTTCCATCGATTAAGTATAAATATATTCACTGTTTGTACATTGAAATTATGGTATTTTATGTTCGATAGATAGTATGTATATGTGTCGCAATAGTTTTTTCTTACTTTAATGTGAAATGATAAAGATATTGGGTAGACTGTTTTTATTAGTCTTGTAACTGAACTTCTTTATCATTTTAGTCCCGTAAATGAATCATGTTGCAAACTAGTCCCGTAAGTAAAAAAATTTCGCAGTTTTAGTCCTCCACGCCCGCATGGCTCGGCAGAGGCCACGTGTTCGTCAGATTAGCGACACGTGGATTTTTTTTTTTTAAAAAAAAATTTTAGTTGTCTTCACACATGGATTTTTATTTTTATTTTTTATTTTAAATTTCTAAAGACAATTACTTTTTTTTTTAAGAAAAAATAAAATCCACGTGTCCGTCAGATGGTGTTGACCTAGTAGACACGTGGCCTTCGGCGAGCCATGTGGGTATTTTCGGCGCCAGAGGACTAAGATTGCGAAAAATTTCCACTTACAGGACTACTTTGTGACATACTCCACTTACAGGACTAAAATGATAAAGAGGTCCAGTTATGGGACTAAAAACACAGTTTAGCCTAAGATATTTTATTAATATCACGAGGTCGACACATTTGTTGTTTGCGGATATCTTAAATGAGCATATAAAAATGTTCGAGCATCGACGTAGTTCTTTTTACTCCTAATTAATTGTACATGGATCATTGGCAGGTAGGTGAATCGATGGATGTGTCATATTCATCGTCGGATGCGACGTACGATACAGGAGATTTCGAGTGCAACATCTGCTTCGAACTTGCACAAGATCCGATCGTTACACTCTGCGGTCATCTTTACTGCTGGCCGTGTCTCTACCAATGGCTTCAGCATCACTCGCATTCTCATGAGTGCCCCGTTTGTAAGGCGTATGTTTACGAGGATAAGCTAATTCCTATCTACGGCCGGGGCAAATCGAGATCCCGACTGACTCCGGAAACTTCCATCCCTAATCGACCAATGGGGCAAAGGCCGCAAACTCCAGTCGTCCGTGCAAACTATGTCGAGCCTAATTTATGGGATCCCGTGACGGAATTTATGCCGATGGCGGCTGCCCGTTTCGGTCACCAAACACTGTCCTCGCTATTCGGTTCCCTGCCCGCCATTTTTAACCTTCAGATGAACGGATTTAACGATGGCACTGTATACGGATCGACTTCTGGAGTCCCGTACTTGTTCTCGAGCTCCTTTCATGGAGATTACATCCATGGCTTTCATCACTACCATTCAGCTTTTATCGACTGGAAGTCAGTCGCCGGGAAAGTTATGTTTGTTCTTATCGGGTTTTTCATACTCTTGCATCTAATCCTTGCGTAAATTAGGTCGTGATAGAAATCACTATGTAATCGATGATATTCGATATTTGCTTCTTTTTTTTTTTTTTTTAAAGGTTATTATGTCGTGAATAAGTTTCGTTGAGCCCGTTGTGACTGTAACTGTCAGGTCGAGCGAGACGTGCCCTCGCCGGAGCGCCATGGAATAAAGCGCAATCCCTCGGCAGCATTGTAAGTAGCTCTTGTGTTTTGAATCGACTGTTTGTTTTGTTTTTTTTTTTTCTTCGTGCAGGAATTAATATGAGGTTTGTCGATGGAATCGAATGGGGATTTCGATCTGTCTGTATATGTAATCTTGTTGTACGAAGTTTACTATAGCAAAAATGCATCGATCCTGCCGTGGCGTGGATCGTGTGGTTTGTACCCTGCATCGATCCCACCGCGGCGTGCATCGTCTGGTTTGTACTCCGGCGGAGTTGAATTGCCGGAGTACATACGTAGCCTCAACTGGTTTGGCTATGAATCTTGATGATAGCACGTACATTTGTTGTTGAGTAAGTTTATCGATTCAATATATATATATATATATTTTTTTTGATGACATGAAAACCGCGGTTGCTATTCGAAAATTTACCGATTCAATATATTTTGAAATGATTTTGGGTGATGTTGGGTTGTTTTGATTTTAAAAGGTGGTTTGAATATGTAGTAGAAGGTGTTCGGTTACCCCCAACTCCCGATGAATTGTGCTCCCGGTGTACCGGTAAATCATCATCCATCGTGTATATTTTGTTTTCAAAAAAAATATATTAATAAAATAAAAAATTTAAATACACATGAGGTGACTAGTCGTTACACCAGGAGGGTACTTACTTCATCCGTACCAACTTTTAAAGGGTATTTTTGTATCTACATATAGATTATTTCTATTAATATAATACAATATGAATATTTTTAAATTGCACAGAAAAAAGGATAAAAATACTGCAAAGAATTGTAATAATAATAATAATAATAATAATAATAATAATAATAATAGCATTTATTTACCGTTCAAAGGATATTACTCCATTATTCTTCACTTGATTTGTTTGTCTGTCTGGGATTTGATTTTGAACTTTTAATTTAAATAAGAAAATATAATATATTTTCATCAAAACTGATAGAAATTATATAATAAAAAATTAAAATCAGACAACAGACCGGAATTGTTTACGGTTACAAGTCCATGCGTTACCTGATGTTTATTATTAAAAAATTTAAGCAAAACTACAAAATCAAAGCCTGCTACAAGTATGTGTTATCCGGACCTGCAAAAGGCCTTACTCAAGTTGCTCAGGCAAGCTGGACCGGACCGGTTCAAGCCCAAGTCAGCCCAAGTTTAAATAAAATAGAAACACTCCCAAATTAGATAAAAAAATATTTGTAAGTTGGTCAGGCCTGATTTGTCTGACCCGGCCCATGAATTGATTATGTCAGGCCGGTTTTTTAATGAATCGAAAGGATTTGTCTCGTTATTTTTATTTTTAATTTGTATTTTTTATTATTATTATATTAAAAATTAATTTTATACGTATTTTTTAATTTAATTTTTAAAAAATCTCAAGCAAAAGTTCCGACCAAAAACAGAGTGAGATATTTGTGGATAAAGCAACGGCAAACGGACTCTGAGATTTCTCACAAGCACCACTATGAACCTGACGATGAATCTCAATCTCAATCTCAATTCTTCAAACATTCAGCTCCAAACCGCCATTAATGCCACCAAATTCACCACTCCCTTCGCCAATTCTTCCCTCCGCAGAAATAATGGAGGAGGAACACTCGCGATAACCGTCGTCTTCAGCGGCAGGACGGTTGTGTCGTCGAAGCTTAAAGGCTCCGAAAACAGGAGTGGCGTAAAGGTTAAGGAGAAGAAGAGCTTGCCATCGGCGACGAGGACGAAGATTTCGGCGCCTGAACCGGGCCGAGCGCCGGCGGTTTCCGGCGAGGAAAGTGGAGGAGGTCGGTTGGAGCCGAATCCTCCTCCTCCGCCGCCGGCTCAGAGAAATCAACCCAGTTTTCGGAAGCTCAGGGCGATTCCTAAGAGGCTGTTGGCTGTTCTATCGAATTTGCCGCTGGCGATTGCTGAGATGTTTGCTCTTGCTGCTCTTATGGCTTTAGGTATATTTCATTGAATTTACTGATTTTGAGTCATTAGGGTTTATAACCATGATGATCACTAAAAGTTGATCTGTAGTTCTGCATCAATGGTTAACAAGTTCGGTTGTTTGTCGGAATTACAGAAGCAAGATATAGTTGTTTTAGCAGAAGCATCCCCTCATTGTATTTCTATAAGGAAATGGTCAAGCATTTTGTCTTTAAGATTGTTGAAAATATTAGCACTAATTATTCAGTCGAATGCATCAAAATGGTGTGCTTGTGGCGTATATATCCGTATAGTTTTGCTACACTTTGAAGTTATGTTTGCCGTGAATAATATCTGAAAGTCATTTGCTATTTAAGATTGTTGAAAATGTTTATACTAATTTAATTTGATAAGTATCAAAATGGTGTGTTTGTGGCTTAGATATTGATTATAGTTTTGCTACACTTTGAAGTGATGTTTTCAATGGAGAATATCTGAATGTCGATGCTTTTGTTATACTATGGAGAGTAATAAGCTCCTTGAAATGTGTTCTTTGTAATTTTCAGGAACTGTTATCGATCAAGGGGAGGCACCAGAGTTCTATTTTCAGAAGTTCCCCGAAGACAATCCTGTAATGGGGTTCGTCACATGGAAGTGGATTCTTACCTTTGGATTTGACCATATGTTCTCATCTCCAATATTCTTGGGGACATTATCCCTCCTTGGATTATCACTTATTGCTTGTACATACACGACACAAATCCCCATGTTGAAGGTAGCAAGAAGGTTCGACTTATGTCTCACTGATGGATAAATTATACTTCTCAGTAGCGGTTTGTTTACTTCGTAATTGAGAATGTCAAAATTGTTGTTTCAGGTGGTCCTTCTTACGTTCTGCTGAAGCAGTTCGCAAGCAGGAATATTCGGATACCTTGCCTAGAGCATCCATTCAGGATCTTGGTGTCATTTTAATGGGCTCTGGATATGAAGTACGGTACTTTATCCATTTTCTATCCGTTTCTGTTGCTTTGTATCTCTTTACTTCGATGCCTATGGACTTCCAGTGATCCACGTCTATTGAGCAACCATGGAATTTACGTAGAAAAAATTTACATGTTTATTTGATCTCAATTTGTCGTGGTTTTTCCCTCGTAAGTTCCTACCTATTTGGTGACTCAAATGTTTAGCTAAGGTAACCTTTCAAACCCTTATGCTGCGATTTTTCGTAGCTCTTGTATAATTTGGAAATTTTCTGAAAACTTGCTTTGTTATAGATGAAAGTTCTACCTTCATTTGTCGACTTTGTTATGGACAATAGAGATTGAGTTAATTGTAGGGGTAATATATACTCTCCGGATTATTCTTTAAATTCATGGACATTAACGAAACTATTGTGAGCTCTTTCGGACTTTTTAACTACAATGTGGGACAATTAGGTCGTGCTAGAAAAGACTTGTCAGTGTGAATATCCTTTTACATTCTTTTCTAGATCACACTGTAAATGGTTAAGGTTATCTAAAAGTAGCTCGTAGATACGTCATTCTTGTCAGGTTAACCTTTTAAGGCGAAGTGCGTTAACAATGGAAGTTTCCTTTTTTCATGTCTAAACTTTAGGTATTCTTAAAAGGATCGTCGCTGTATGCATTCAAGGGCCTGGCGGGTAGGTTTGCTCCGATCGGAGTACATATAGCATTGCTTCTGGTAATGGCGGGTGGAACTCTTAGCGCTTCCGGAAGCTATAGAGGTTCTGTAACAGTTCCACAGGGTTTAAACTTCGTTATAGGGGATGCATTGGAACCGAGCGGATTCCTATCCGTTCCAGCGGAGTCCTTCAACACTGAAGTTCACGTCAACCGATTCTATATGGACTATTATGAAAGCGGAGAGGTAGGCCGTTGTGATTCCTCTTTACTACTAACCATTATGGGCGTTTTAGATGCTCTTTCTTGTGGCTTCAGGTTTCTCAATTTCATAGCGATCTTTCGCTTTTTGACCTCAACGGAAAAGAGTTGCTAAGAAAAACAATAAAAGTGAATGACCCTTTAAGGTTTGGCGGGATCACTATATACCAGACGGATTGGGGATTGTCGGCATTGCAAATAATGAAGGATGATCAAGGACCGTTTAATTTGGCCATGGCGCCTCTGCAAATCAATGGCGACAAGAAGCTTTATGGAGCTTTCTTGCCCATCGAAGATCCCAATTCTTCGAACCTTAAAGGAATGTACGTTCCTTTCTTTTCAACTCGTCGTGAAATCTCATGCTATAACCTGATCTGATTGCTAGCTAAATGTTATCGAGCCTACTGAGCTTATCTTGTAATCTTTTATTCACTTGGGCTCGAATTCGAACCATTATGATGTGTTTATTGTCATTGTAAACTTCTGAATTATAGTTTTACAGTGTTATCCATTCGTCGAGCTATATCTGTATTTTGTAATATGTTATCATTCCATCGAGCAATGCCTGGTTCATTAATGTTTGCTGTTTCTCGTGTTTAGATCAATGCTAGCTCGGGATATGCAGTCGGTGGTCCTTTACGATCAAGAAGGGAAATTCGCAGGAGTCAGGAGGCCGAATTCGAAACTCCCCATCGACATCGGCGGCGTAAGAATCACGGTGTTGGATGCCATTGGAAGCACTGGTCTTGAAATCAAGGTGACTAGAAAATTGACAAAAAAGTTTCGAATGTTTATCCGTTCTCGCAAGATTAAAATTCTTTTTTGTTGCTGAACAGACCGATCCAGGAGTGCCAATTGTTTACGCCGGTTTCGGCGCTCTGATGCTCACCACATGTATCAGTTTCTTATCTCATAACCAGGTAAATTATCTTCTCGACTTTCATGAACTGATCGTTTGGGCAATATATGTTACGTCGAATATTATCTGAAAGTATTATTATCTGTGCATGACTCGGAAAAAAGATTTGGGCTTTTCAAGACGGGACGGCATTGGTCGTGGGAGGGAAAACTAATCGAGCAAAGGGCGAGTTTCCTGATGAAATGAACGTCTTGCTCGATCAAGTTCCTGAACTGGTTGATTCCTCGAAACCAGACAGCCTTAGTGGCTAGTCTTGTGTTCTCATCTAGGTAAGTTAGACGAATCTCTCTTACATCGAACACTGAATTGAAGAGGATCGGGAGGAACCGTGTCTCGCTGCGATCGTATTTCCCCGCCAAAAAAGACGGAGGTGTCGAAAATCCCAGGTACGAACCGTAATTAGGCGACATGTTTGCGACTCGTAAACATGTTTTTATCTTTATCTTTCTTTTTTTTTTTTTGTTCGACTATTAACTTGGGGTAAATATGTGTATATATATACACAGCTACATGATATAGTTATTCATGAAAATTATAGATGAAAAATGATATTAGGGGGAAAAGGGTTGAGTTATATATATGTTGAATTTATTAGATTTTTTTTTTGTGAAATGGTATAAGAAGTAATGTTAGAAGAACTATGTTGAATTTTAGTGTAAATATAGAGTACAAATATATATATATATATATATATATTGAATTATAAGGTACATATATGTGTTGATTACTGTCCCAATATAGTAGTCTCATATGTAGGAGGTGGATCTGAGGCGCAAGTTCAACCCCTGCACCACCGGACCATCCTTTACAGGACAAGATATCGTATTACTATTAATATAAAGAGTAGTTGACTAGACTATTATGTATGCAGATTCAAAGATAAGAAAATGAGTAAGCGTGGGATATCACTAAGTGCATGACTAAGGCAGGTTCAATAATATTAAGTACTAATTTTGTACACCAACTTATTATAATTATTACTATTATTATTATTGTTGTTGTTGACGTTGTTATAAAATAGAATATCTTACATTAGGGGTTGGGGTTTTTTATTTGACTAAAAAAAATGAAAGTAAATATATATATATATATATATATATTGTGTATTATTGTTTAGGTAGTTGGTAAAGCTAGTTGACTGTAGAGACAAGAGGTATACGGCATTACCATAGATTCCCTAATATGTCTCCAAAGTATTTTGAAATTTAGCTCTTTATATAGACAGTTTTAGACACAGGCTTTTGCAGTTGGTTTGTATTTATATTTATTTTATTTAAATAATATTTATAATTATTTTGAAAACCGTGTGGATTAAATAGTGAAAAGTATAGTCTGAAATTCAAATTACATAAAATTTTAAAAATAATAAAAAGTATAGTAGTACTATTTTATAGTATAATATTTTATAAAAATATATATAAAAAAAAAATAGTTATTGATAAATAGCAAAAAACTTCTATAAGTGTATATAAATAGAGATATTTGAGAATAGTAAAAAAAATGAATAAAAAATTAATATTTAATGTAATATAAATATACATTAGATGTAACATTTTAAAAGGAAATATATTTTTATATAATTTTTAAAATAAAAAAAAAAATAATAATTGAATGTAATTGATGGGTGTGTATGTTTGAAGGTATGAACTTTACGATGAGATTTTGAATAGTAAAAATTTTAAACATTCAGATATATTTTTTATTTTAAATTCTCTCATAATAATTAATATATATTTTTATTTTTAGTATATTTATTTATATTAAATTTATTTAACAAATATAAATTAATTTAATTGAAATTTTAAAAAACACTTTGATGAGTTCACGTTTATGTACCAAATTCCATTCCAAATCCAATTATCCAAATAAATAACTCGCCCATTGAACATTTCCAAATTTCTTATCCATGCACCAAAATTTTCTAAGAACAATGATAGAAATAGTTCTAATTATAATTATAATAAATAAATAAATAAGACAACCCACAATACACACACATCCTAAAAAAGTCCAAACAAACAACAGAAAAAAAAATATATATATATATTATTTATGAAACATACGGGGGTGTTCATTTTTTTTTTTTTTTTTAAAAAAGAAAAATAAAATTATTTATTTTCATTACAACGATCAAATGGAAGATAATGGGGCTGTTCATTTTATATTTATGAATGTTTTTATATTAGATAAAAAATAAAAATAAAATTATATTCGTATTATAAAAAATAATATTTTCGTGTTGAATTGTTAACGCATTCTATATACTGTATTAGCATATATATATACATATTATATTTTTTTATAATATTTATCAGAAATTATTTCAGCAAAAATCATTGATGAATACACCCATATAATATATTTAAATTTTTGTTTAAATAGTATTTTACTATGATATTTTATAAAAAAAAATATATATATTTTGTGTTAAATAAATAATATTGATTTGAATTTAGAATACTAAAAAAAAATAAATCTAATAATTTACTATACACATATTAACATAATTGAGTTACAATAATAACAATCCACTAAATAAATACCCCATATTACTATAATATAATTACAATATAAAAATAATAATCCACTATACAAATACATATTACTATAATATAATTACAATATAACATATTACTATAATACAATTACAGTAATTAAAATAATCCACTATAATATATCTCAATACAATTACTATATATAACAAATACTTACTACTATAATACAATTACAATATAGAATAATAATAATAATAATAATAATAATAATAATAATAATAATAATAATAATAATAATAATAATAATGGATTATTTTTAAAATTAAAATAATGGATGCCAAGACTTCTCTACACAGACACATTCTCCAGCCTAATTCGTGGAGGTGAGTAAAAATACTGCTATTTATTTTATTTTTATTTTTTAATTTTTTTTTGTTGTAAATACGAGTTGGTAGGTAGGTGGGTTAATTTGTTTTTTTTTATTTAAAAAAATTGTCGTAAAACAGTGATTCGATTGGATCAACATATATTATAGGAACAATCAATATATATTATATTATAAAATAACATATATTGAATTATAATATGTTAAGATATATTGATCTATGTCATTTTGTGTAAGTTAATTATGAAAAGGTCGGAAATTTGCATTCCACTTTTTAATTCATATAATTTTATTTTAAATTAAAAAATAATAATAACATTACAAAGTTCATACCATTTTTTCAAAAATTTATTAGTTTATTTTTTTAAAAAAAAAACAAAATCTATACAATATAATTCACTTTCTATTTAGAAGATTTTTATTTACTTAAAAAATATATATATCTACAATATTACGCTTTTATATCAATACAATTATTATTCAGCATTTCTACTATTTGGACTTTGTCTTTCTTAAAAAAATTCATTTTTTTTTTTTTTCACAAAACATCGCATCATATATTATTTTAATATCAAATTCAAACCAATTTTTTTTCAAACTTATCTAAAATAACATACAAGAACACGAAAATCAAAAGGGTAAATTTTGTTTGATTTATTGTGGCCAAGAAATTGAGTGTGGTGATCCTATAAATAGCTATTTTAATTTGTCTTGTCTGCAGATAAAGACTTCGGAAGCAGTTAGAGACATCATGGTATGATCGATCTGATCAAAACATCTTAGGATAAATATATATGCCCAAATTATATATATGAGCATTGAGGATACCAATCTTTTGTTGCCCAAAATGGAGCCATTTGAGCTAGAACAACATTCCCAACCGGAACCCGAACCCGGATCCGGATCCGGTTTTAGTCATTACAATGTTCGGAAGCTCCGAGGGAAGACGTGGGACAAGTCGAAGAAGTTGTGGGAGATAGCCGCGCCGGCGATCCTCACCACCGTGGCGCAGTTCTCCATGGGGTTTGTTACTGTTGCGTTCGTCGGACATCTCGGCCAGGTCGAGCTGGCTGCCGTATCCGTCGTGCAAAACGTGCTCGAAGGCTTCGTTTTTGGGGTAATGGTGAGTAGAGTCGTCGGTACGCTGTTTTAATCCTTTTATTTGAAATATATTTGAATAACGATTAATTTTTTAGTTATCTAGTTATAGAAAATTGCACGTGATCTGCATATGCGGCATCCTAGAGGTGATTTGATCCGTCGATGCGGACGGATTCAGAGGTGCCGCATATGCACACGTGGAGGTCACGTGAAATATTATGGTATCAAAAGATTAAAGAAGTTTTAAAATTAAAAAAAAAAAAATTGAAATAATAAAAAATTAAATATTAATATTATGTGTTGTAAAGAAAATATATATGTATATAATTCGATGTGATATTTGTTTGAAAATATTACCGTTGATGGATAATATGAGAAATTTTAAAAATATCTGTATAAAAGTCTAAGTATATGCAATGATTTTATATCTTATTTTTTTAAAACATATTTCAAATAAAGAGCTAAAATTATGAAAAGTCTTCTTTACAAAACCAAACATATGTTTTCGAAACTGTTGTGTATTCTTTCCGTCCTAATTCAAAGAATTTATTTTACAATTTTTGTCTATCTCATTCAATTGTTTAGTAAAAGTAATCATATATTGATATCAAAATACCCTTTAACTTTTATTTAAATTACAAACATATCATTACATATACAATTAATTTTTATATAAAGTTAAGAGCAAAAACGTCAAAACTTCTTACACACTTCTACTAACTAATAAATAATAATACAAAATCGAAAAAATTCCTTTCAAATAGAATGGAGGGGGTACAAAATTTTGAATGAAAATATATTTTATGTAATACTTTAAGTGAAAAATAAACATTCGATATAATATATTTCAACAATAAGTAAATCGAGCAGTAATTTTTCCTCTATAAAATTTACTTTCACTAGCTAGGTATGGGTAGCGCACTCGAGACGCTATGCGGGCAAGCGGTCGGTGCGGGCCAATTCGAGATGCTCGGGATCTACATGCAACGATCGTGCATAATAACCACGATCACGGCCCTATTACTATTGCCGTTATACATTTTTACGGCCCCTATCCTCAAATTGCTACGCCAAAGTACGAGCATTTCCGAACTCGCGGGAAAGTACGCTCTCTGGGTTCTCCCTCAATTGTTCGCGTACGCGATCAATTTTCCCGTGCAAAAATTTTTGCAAGCGCAGAGCAAAATCTGGGTGATGACGATCATTTCCATCGTAGGTTTGGGATTTCATGTCATTTTGAATTGGATAGTTGTCGTAAAATTTGAGAAGGGCCTCCTCGGCGCGGCTATGGCCGAGAATTTATCGTGGTGGGCCGTCGTATTGGCCCAAGTTGTTTACGTGGTTGCGGGATATTTTCCTGCATCGTGGACCGGATTTTCGTCGGCGGCGTTTAAATCCCTTGGGAATTTTTTGAAATTATCGCTTGCGTCGGCCATCATGTTGTGGTAAGAAGATTATTTATAATTTTTTTATTTTATTTTTTATTAATATTTTTTATAATTAATTAATTATTAATTGTTTCGTGTATTGTTTATGATATACAGTTTGGAGCTTTGGTATTACACTCTGTTGATTCTTATGGTTGGTTGGCTAAAGAATCCAGAAATTGCAGTTGATGCAATATCTATTTGGTTAGTATATATATATATATATATAATTATAATAATTATTTTATATTATATAATATTTTTAATAAAAATATATAATTTATGTATCTATTTAATTTTGAAAACAAGGTAAATGTTTTATATACGATAGGTATTGATAGTGGTTAAAGCAGTTTCTAATTTTGATGGGTCTCAAACATTTATAATTAATACTTTAAAATTATTATTATTTTTTTGTTGTTTGTTTGGTTGTCGTGAATAAATATATATATATATATTAATAAAATTTAAAATTATTATTATTATTTTTTTGTTTGTTTGATTGTCTTGAATATATATATATTTTAATAAAATATATGAAAATAAAAATTTAAATAAAAATTTCAAGTTTAAATACAAGTCAATAAAATTTAATAGTATATATTTTTAATAATTTATATATATTTACAAATTTTACTTTTTTTTAATGTAAAATTTTATAAAAATGCGTTCCTAAAAGGATTAATATTTTTGGGACCGTAAGCCCAGGTGACTCATGCCCGGGCCGGCCCAACACATAGAGATCCTGGATTTGTTGCTTTATTAAATTAAAAAAAATATATATATATATATATAGTCAAAATATTAAAATATTATGTGGTGTATATATTTTTGAACAATAGTATATTCAGATTATTATGAAGTAATTTATTTAATCATATATATTTATGTCGAAGTATATAAAATTTAAGCATTATTATTATTTATTATTATTATTATTATTATTATTGAGTTTATTTTGTTGATATGACAATTTGGTTAATATGACAGCATGAATTTGGATCTTTGGACAATGATGATCACTCTTGGCTTCAGTGCTGCTATTAGGTTTGTCTTCTTTACATATTTAAAACTCATATGTAAAAAAATCCTGCAAATTTAAGTTTTATTTAGAAATATATTTTTAAAAATAGTAAAAAAATAAGTATAATATAATGTTTTAGAAAAATATGATTGTTTGATAATACTTTTCAAAAGTATATAAATTTTAAAATATATATATATATATATTTTAAGAGATAATAACAATTTATGCAGTGTTCGTATCGGAAATGAGTTAGGAGCTAATCGTCCGAAGGCAGCAAAGTTCTCAGTGATTGTAACCGTTGGTACGTCGACATTGTTTGGTCTTTTGTTCTCCGGAATCATTCTTGCAACCCGGAACTCCTTCCCAAAATTATTCACGGGCCGTAAGGAAGTTATCGCGGAAACATCTAAATTAGGCTATTTTTTGGCCGCAACAATTTTTCTCAATAGTATTCAGCCAATACTTCACGGTAATCAATTTATTTTATACTCTTTCAGTCTACTAAATTTGAGTTTATTTTTTTTATTTTTAAGTATATTCGTCAAATATATATTTATACCATAGATAACAATTATTTTTCTCATCTACTTAAATATTATTATTAATTTAACACAAGATAATAATAATTTTATTATCATCCAATAAACATATCCCTATCAATATTTAACAAAATATCCTTACATAACTTTTATTTTTACATTAACATAATATATATTTTTTTTATCTTTATGTCCAGATAATTAAACATACTTGTGGCGAAGAGAATATTTTTTAAAATATAAATATATAAATATGTGTTATTGGCTAATTTTTTTTTTTTTTTTTTTTTTTTTTATCTTTATGTCCAGATAATTAAACATACTTGTGGAGAAAAGAATATTTTTTAAAATATAAATATATAAATATGTGTTATTGGCTAATTTTTTGTTTTCAATTTACACTGTACTTCTATTTTGTTTTCAAGTATTTTCAATGTAGAAATTATTTATAATACTTTTTAATTTTATCCCTTTTTAATAAATAAATATCTTTATAAAAAAATTATTTTATGTAAAATTATATCTATATTGAATATATATTTTTTTTCAAATATATAGGCTTAAAACACTAAAGCATATATTTTAAATTTATTTTACTTACATATTCTATTATAAATTAAATATCAATTGAATAAATTCAATTTAATTCAACTTCCAACCATTGTGTTTTAGTTTGAGGTATTTTTTATGTAAAATGTGTAAAATTGTATCGGTAATATAAAAAAAATAATAATTTATATTATATTATTGATTTTTGTGAAAAAATAAAATATAAAATATTATATATTTTGAAAATTATTTCCATAAAAAAATTATTTTGAAGAACGTCACCTTAAATATTAACCTAAGTAGATTATTGAATATATTTTTTAAAATATAATTTTAAAACACTAATGAACATATATTTTAAATTTATTTTAATTATATACATTGTATCATAAATCAAATATCAGTTACCTCTCATCCAATCATCAAATATTAACCTAAGTAGATGATTTATTTTATTTTTTTCTCCGTCCGGCTTTGTAGGAGTGGCAATTGGAGCGGGTTGGCAGGTATCTGTTGCTGTAATAAATATCGGAACCTATTATGTATTTGGGCTTCCTTTTGGTGCTTTGCTCGGGTACAAACTCGATATGGGCGTCAAAGGGATTTGGCTTGGCGTGATGGCCGGTTGTTTCTTACAAACCATATTATTGACTTTGTTTGTGCTTCGAGCAAATTGGAATAAAGAGGTTTGCATTTTAAATATTGAATCGAGCAAAATTGATATTATTTACCATCAAACTATATTTTTGAAGTGATCAAATTCATTTTTATTTGTGTTATTGTTTTGAATGCAGGCTTTAAATGCTGAAGAACGGATTAGAATGTATGCTGTTTCGGCTATCACCCAAAATCAAAGTATAGAAGATAGAGTAACAAACGAAAAATAATACAAAGGAAAACATTAATATATATGTCAGTGTCTTTCAATTTTGTAGTATATGTATGCAATAATGGTAGGAATTCTCGTTTTAAGATCAAAGAAATCAAATAGTGGCTAAATATTTAGCTTATCTTTAAAATTGAATTACGGTGAGTGAGAAATTGATAAAATATAATTATCCATATATAATTATCCATATCACACATTATATATGTGCCTAATCAAGTTTTGAACTCTAAGCGGACGTCAAACTGTGTTGTGAGCTTACAAATCGGAGAAAAAAGTTTTAAAAAATTCTATTCACATTGAATAAATAAGATATATCATATTAAGGATTTACATATCTATAGCTGTGATGAGCGCTAAAATTTATTAAGTGGAAAACTTATAAATATGCATGATCTCTAAATTTCAAAATACACGTAAGTCTACCCACAATATTCCTAATACTTTTGTATTTCCCGTCCACTGAATATCATAGTCTTTCTAAATTCGTAAGGTCCTTTGATAGTAGTGTTATTTCAAAAGAATATGAGTCATTTTATCTTTAAAAATAATACGGATATATCAAAACATTACCGGTTGTACTTTGGAGCCTCCAATCGAGATTTAGAGGCCATGGGTCTTGAGAGCTCCAATTGAGATTAAGAAATTGCATACGAAGAGTTTTCCACAAGTACACAATCTAGAAAAAGACCACTTATAATACGGTCGAGAAGACAAGAATCGAGAATTTCAATAACATGCTAAACCATCTTTGCGATGGTCTTGTGGTCCATACGATGAGGTTCAAGCAAAATGTTTATGGCTTACAAGCTGCCACAATGCAATCCTCTCGAAATGTCTCGTATGGCGTACAAAACTTGAAAGCCTAGGAAGAGTTGCAATTTCAGGGCAATAAACCTACTCCCGACCGTGAAACAAGAGAGCAACATTAATGTATGTCACGAAACACCAACGTTACGTGATGAAAATGCAGAAGTTTGGATTGACGGCGATCGGATCCCCAAAATTGTAATCAAATCTTGATCCCCAATGAATTGTGATTGAGAAAACGCTTCAACAGTGGCTCCAGTAGGTTGCAATGCATTTCCCAAAGGAAAAACAACATTACCTAAAGAAAATACGGGAGCTCAAGTAATTGGTGCACATGCAAATTGTGACCTGTAGTGAACTGCGGTTGAAAAAATGCCTCGACAGTGGTTGTGGTAGACTGTGATATACTTTTAAAAAAGAGATCATCTAAAGGAAACATAGAAGATCGAGGTGGCGGTGATCATATCTCCCATGTCGTAGTTGGGATAAGAAAAAATTGACACACAAGCGTGTTTATATCAAGTACGATTGTGTTTAAATATACCTTTGTGTTTGTCTTTTTAATTGTTTGAACATGGCCGTGTTACATCTTAATTAGATGTCATCTCAGCTTTTGTTACCGTCATATCATCATATTCCATTTAAAATTTTTACGAGAGATTAAAAATAATAAATAAATTTAAGTATTCGAATTTTCAAATCATAAAGCCAAAGATAACTAATATCCAAATTGAGGACTAGGGTTTTATTCGTTCCCGACCCCTCAAAAGCGAAGGCAGAAATTCGTATGGAGTCGATGTTGGTGAAGAAGCCGGACGTTGCTCCGGCCACCGTTTCAGCATACCGAGACCTAAGTTACTGGTCAGCCGCAAAATCCCTTTCTTTCTTCTCCGATTTTTCTTATAGTGGTATGCGTTAACGTTTCTTCTCGTGCATTTGAACTCAATTTGTTGAATTTGGATTTGAATCTGAATTTCAGGGACCAGAGGTTTGCTCAGGAAGAGCATTATGAGTGGTTGAAAGGGTATTCTCATTTCCGTCACCTAATTCTTCAATATGTTAAACCCAACTCCACCGTAAATCTCCTTTTTCGATCTCTGTTCGTTTATAATTTATAACTTTTGTGGTGTACGTTTCTATATTATCCAATTTAATCAACGAACAGGTGTTGGAAATTGGTTGTGGAAATTCTCAGCTGTGTGAAGAATTGTACAGAGATGGAATTACTCAGTTGACCTGCATTGATCTGTCCTCAGTTGCTGTCGAGAAGATGAAGCAAAGAGTAATATCCCAAGGATACAAAGGTTGCCAACTCTGTAATTTATGATTCTGTGAGAAATGCATTCTGAAGAATTCATCAAAATCACATACTTCTATAATTGTTTGGTTGCCTAAATATTTAACTTGAATTCGTAAATTTAACGATAATTTGTGATGCTGCCGATGTTGCTGTTATTGCCTTTGCATTTATGTTGAAGTTTCGATGAATTACTAGCGTGTATATGTAATAATTTTGGTTGTGTAACAATGTAAATCGAAATTCTCTTGAATTTAGGGGTATCTTGTTGGAGAGAAATAATCGAATAAGAGTTACCATTGCTGTGACTGTTTGATTATTTTACTTTTTCTTAAGAAGCAGATAAATAAGATGAATTTGTGGATAATTACTACTCGATTATTAATTGAGCACGATCATTTGCCTCCACGATAGAATAGTTTCCTGCTGGGCTGTGTTTAATACATATTTGCCTTTATAATTTTTGACTAGGTAAATACATACCTAAAGATGAAAATTTGGTTCCGGCTTTGGAAATTGTAATCTAGGGTGTTTTGGTTTCGAATAGAAACTGATGGAGTGATTTTATCCTCATTTCCGCTTTTCTTTTTGCTGCTTGTTATTTCTGACAGAAATTAAAGTGCTGGAAGCTGACATGCTAGACCTGCCTTTTGGAGACGAATCTTTTGATGTGGTTGTAGAGAAGGGAACAATGGTAATTCCACGAAACACTCTTTTTTATAATTCTTTGATGCATTAGTAAATTGATGTGTTTTTAGTTGTATAACTAGAGGATGAAAGCTAACCTGGGTCGTCTAATATGTGGATTAGGTTCTAATGTGCTACTTTCTCCATACCTTCTATTTTCCTTTAATTGTATATCGGTATTACATGAAGTATAGTCTGTTAGATAATGAATGTGCTTTGTAGATTGTTAGTGTGTGTTTGTTTTATCTTTATGTGTTGTATTAACATACTTTGTGTATTGAGATCAATTGTAATATGAATTGTATAGACTATTGTTATGTACTGTTAGTTCATGTTTTGTGTTTGTTTTATATGTTAATATATATGTTGTGTTATTGATTTATATTTCATGTACTGCCGGTTTATATTTCGTGTGTTGTCTTTACGATGCTGACTAATTACAGTCAGCACACTAACTACCGCCACATGTGTTTTGGACTATTTTCATCTACGGTCAGTTCATTTGTTGTATTTGTATTACGTTATCATCTACCTTGTGATGTCCGTTTATATTTCGTTTTGTTGTCACTCTTTGGATATTGTTCTAGCTTTTCCTTCCAAATGTTTAGTTTATATGTCTTATTTTTAATCCATAGGATGTGTTTGTTTGGGAGATTGGATTTCATTTCCACTATTCATCCCAATTTTTTTCCTCCAAAAAACATCAAATCAAACACCTATTTTTCATTTTTTATATTATACTAAAAATCAATTTTACATTCAAAACATTACATCAACACCTATTTATATCACATCATACAACTATTTAAATTCAAAATTTTTACTATTCAAATATCAATTCAAAATCCAAACCCCCAGACAAACACACCCATAATCTACTTCCGGCTATTGTTCTGTAGATAGGCACTATTCTACCTGTCAATTTCCTGTTTTCTGCATAATTACATGATATTTTCCCATTTTTCGATGAATGTGTAGGATGTATTGTTTGTTGATTCGGGAGATCCTTGGAATCCTCAAGATGCGACTGTGAATAAGGTTACGGCCATGCTTGAAGGCGTCTACAGAGTCCTGAAACCCCAAGGCATTTTCATCTCCATTTCTTTCGGCCAGGTTGGAAAAACGAGTTGATGCTCTCTCTCTCATTCAAATTTAGAATTGCTTGCTTATATAGTGACTCAGGATCTCTCTTTCTCTTATTTTTCAGCCACACTTTAGGCGTCGTTTCTTTAATGCTCCAACTTTTACCTGGTCCATCGAATGCAAAACATTCGGCGATGGGTTTCATTATTTCTTCTACATCTTGAAGAAGGTTCGCTTCGCCCTGCTTATACGTCAAGCTAAAGTTCCCAAACATTTCACCATCTTGTGCTGTAATTCCGACTATATTTCATCTTGCAGGGTGAACAATCATCAGACAACACTGAATTCATGGAAAAGACAGACGCCCCTTCGCTGAATCTTTTCCATGAAGAATTAGACAACGAGGACTATCTATTCCGTACGGATCTTGATGGAATGTGATGCCTCGATCGCCATCTCCTTAACCGGAGGTATTTTCGCCAGTGATGATTATATGGTTTTTGTTGCACCTAACCTGAGTTGATCTTTCAATTCTGCAACTATTTACTTCATTAGATGGAGTTTTTAATCGACTAGTTTGAAAACATGATTGCTTTTATTACAAAAGCGTTTAAAAACAATGCTCTTTTTCTTGCTGTAAAAAATCTGCTGTTGTCTGTAATTGCTCGACTAAAACTCATTAGCTCGAGATGCTGTTATACCAACTTTTCTCTACTTGTTATTTTGGTTTTTTTTTATCTAAGCACCGTTTGGATTGACTTAAAAAACAAGTAGAAGTAGAAGTAGAAGTCAAAAGTAGAATAAGTTTGATTTTGTGTTTGGATGAATTATTATAAAAACAGTTTTTGATAAAAAAGTGTTTTTAAACCCTTAAAATTACTCAAAAGGATATATATATATATTTTTAATATTTTTTAATTATATTTAAATCTTTTAAAGAAAAGTATAGAAAATATATATTTTTTTAAATTTAATTCTTTATATTTTAAAATTTTACTTTAAAGAAAATATAATAAATTAAAAATAAAATTACAATATAATAGGATTATTAAATTATTCGTATTTTTCAATAAATTTTAAAATTTTAAACTTATATTTAATAATTTTAATATAATTATAAAAATTATATACTCTATTTAAATTTAATATTTTAATTATAATTTTAAATTCTAATTCAAGTATAATATATATAAATTAAAATTAATAATATAATTATATTTTTTAATCTTTTAAAATATAATATATAAATTAATTTATTTTTATAATATATTATAGTATTCTATTAAAGTTGCATGATGGTTTGAATATTACATTCAAAATATCAAATTAATAACCATTTAAATCATATTAAATAATTATTAACTACAAATTTCTATTATTCAAAAGTTCAAATTTAAAAATTTAAACCCACAAACAAACACACCAAAATATGAGATATAGACGAAGAATGTCATTAATAAGGTTATTTTTCAAATATAATACTAATGAAAAAAATAAATGAATATTTAGTTATGAAATGGAGAGAGTATTTTAATTTGATTATAAAAAAAAATGAAACTCTTAAATATATCTTAAATTTGTACTAATGTTGATTTCACTCATACAAAATATTGTACAATTATAATGAATTTGTTAAAAGCATTATGTTAATATTTCCTTCAAAATTACTTGTTTTACATATTTTATAAAGATTTGCCTTCAATCTAATCTAATATCTAATATTAATATATATATATATATATATATTTTCTATTATAAATAAGATATTTTTTATATGAACATGAATTATAGATTGTTTAACACAGCCCTAAATTTGTGCATATGCTCACTGCTTGCATAAGAATTTAAATTTATTATGATCTATAAATAGATTTATTTAAATGCTAAAAAAACAAAAATATCTATTTAAATTAATAAAATAATAATTACTATTAAATTTTATATGTATATCTGTATGTATGAGATTTATTAGGATAATTCTGTTATTAATAACAGAGCTATATAATTATCTCAAACCCTCTGTGTATTCTTTATTGTGTTTTAAAGCTGAAAAGCTCAATCAATTCCGCAACGACGTCGTTTCGGCTTCTCTTCCCAATCGCCGCGAAGAAGAAGAAGAAGAAGAAGAAGAAACCCCTCTCGCCGCCGATCAACGTTAAGCCTCTCACCAATCGCCGCCGGAATTTCGTCAGACTGATTTATTGCTCCGATCAGCACCGCCGTTTATCGAATACGTGCATTGTTACCCCTAATTATTGTGTACATATATGCTCTGATTCATACTCTGATAGTGATCGGATATTGATTCATGGCGTCGGCGGCGGCAGCGGAGGAGGAGGATTACTATGTGAGCGGCGGCAGCGACGAGGAATATGAGTCGTATTCCTCTGATCAAGAAGCGGAATCGCTTGACGGACTCGAAGATGATGATTACGATGCTCAGTGGGCGACGTCGCGAACTTCTTCTTCAAAGGTCTGTGAGTACTGGCAAAGCGTTTCCTCGACATTTAAGAAACAATGCAATTTCTTACTAGTATTTTTTTTTTTTGTTTCCTGGAATCTTCATATCTGCGAGTGTGGTAATATATAATAAGTAGCGGATTTCATCGGAGTGATTTGAATCCATGATGCTTTCTTTCTGAAAATCATCCATGGTTTCTGAATAGAATGAACGCCATTTTTTCTGAATTAATTGTTTAGTCTGTTTAAATTCTTGCAATTTCTCATTTCTTCAATGTCTCTGAAAGGTTTTTATTGTTGAGATATTGTTTATCTATATTTTGATGCAATGCCTGCTTTTTCTTGTTCAACAATGAGTTCTGGAAGATATTACCAAGTTTGTGTTTGAAGATGATAGTTTATAATGGAAAGAAGCTTATTCCCTTTTTTTTGTTCTTTGGTAATTTTGTTACAGGTAATCACAAGAGAATCTCTGTTGGCGGCGCAGGTAATAAATGTATTCGGATACTCCGTCAATGTTTTTCTTAATTCACTTGTGTTTCCGTGTATATTATTTACATATTTTTGGATTGTTGGTTTCCAAATCTTTTTGAGTCTATGAGGTGTGTTTGATTGTGGGATTAGGAATTAAGATTGTGATTGTGTATAGAAATTTTTTTAGATGAAATAGCTTTTTATATTGTATTAAATAAGTATGTGATGTTTTAAATGTTAATTTGATTTTTGTGTGTAATAAAAATGGAAAATAGGTGATTGGTTTGACGTTTCTAGGAAAAACAATTAGTGAATCGTTAAATCTTAGTGAGAATCCCACAAACAAACACACCCGATTGTGTATCCAAACTTCATATCATTGGGTTGCATAAAGACTACGCAAAAGAAATTAGCTCCATTTTTGGAATTTTAGAGTTTTGGAAAATTTTGAAAATAGTATACGACATCTTTTTAGAATAAATAAGTATTTCATGTGATTTGTTTGGAAAAAGTATTTATATAAACAGAGTCGTATATTCTATAAAAATGATTCCAAAAAATAAGTGTGATCTTCTGTTTTATTTCTTACACTTACGGTGTGCACAAGTAACAAAAGTGGATTGAGACACCTTCAGTTAACTAAACCATGGCATTATTGTGATCCTTTCAGAAAGAGGATCTGCGAAGAATAATGGACTTGTTATCAGTGAGAGAACATCATGCCAGAACTCTTCTCATTCATTATCGATGGGATGTTGAGAAATTGATTTCAGTTTATGTTGAGAAGGGGAAATCTTGCATGTTTTCTGAGGCAGGTCTTACCGTGGCCGAATGTGTTGACCTCAATAAACCAGAAACTTCCTCAAAACTAGCGTGTGACGTATGCATGGACAATGTTCCTGCAAAAGATGTGACAAAAATGGACTGCGGCCACTTCTTTTGCAACAATTGTGAGTGCTCTGATTATCAATATGGATTCATTTTCTTTTTGTTGACTAGATTCTGTCTGTACTTTATGCTCATGTCGGTGTAAAATGCTAGGTCGTAATTAATTTTTGAATGCATTTTTGTTCTCCCACTGTTTTGTCATGTAGTGATTCTATTTATTTATTTTTCCAGGTTGGACCGAGCATTTCATTGTCAAAATAGAAGAGGGGCAAAGCAAAAGGATCAAGTGTATGGCCCATCAATGCAATTCTATTTGCGACGAGGCTGTTATAAGAAAGCTAGTTAGAGTAAAGCACCCTGATTTAGTACAGAAATTTGACCGGTTTCTTCTTGAGTCGTATATTGAAGACAATAAGATGGTTAAATGGTGTCCTAGCATACCCCATTGTGGGAATGCGATTAGGGTAGAAAACGACGAATTCTGTGAAGTGGAATGCTCTTGTGGTTTTCAGTTCTGTTTCAGTTGCTTATCGGAAGTACATTCCCCGTGTTTGTGTTTGATGTGGGAATTGTGGACCAAGAAATGTCGGGATGAATCCGAGACTGTTAACTGGATAACAGTGCATACAAAGCCTTGTCCAAAGTGTCACAAACCAGTCGAGAAGAATGGTGGTTGCAACCTAGTGAGCTGCATATGTGGACAAGCGTTTTGGTAAGAGTTTTTTTCATATCCCTTCTTGTCACAGAAAGTTCCGTATATTTATGTGCCTCTATTAATTTCATTAAGTGGTGCCAATTATGCCGATGTGTGTTTACTTGTAAGATTTTGGTTTTGAACAATAAATTTTTGAACTGAAATAGTTGTTTGATGTGATATAAATGTGTATTGATGTAATGTTTTGAATTAAAATTAAATTTTAGTATTATATAATAAATAAAAAATAGATGTTTGATTTGATGTTTTTGGAAGAAAAAAAAGTTGGAATAGTAAAATCGGGTGGAAAGTTCTACAAGTAAACACTACTTTTGGGGCACGATGCATTTTTTCTTGTTAATGACATGAATCGAATATTCATCGTCACAATGTTTGAAATTGAGTGTTTTTTCATACTGCTTCTTGGAATTACTGATGTTAAATACGTAGATCTTATTGTGTGGATCAAATCTCTGTGCTCTCTATGTTGCATTTGTTAGTAAGGTTCGAATTTTCTGGAATGTTTCTCATTTAAAAAGTTTTATGCTTCTTGCTGCAGCTGGTTGTGCGGTGGAGCTACGGGCCGGGACCACACGTGGTCTCATATTGCCAACCATAGCTGTGGTCGCTACAAAGAAGACAAAGAAAAGACTGCTGAGCGTGCAAAGCGAGATCTTTACAGATACATGCATTATCATAATCGTTACAAAGCGCATACGGATTCCTTCAAGAAGGAATCTAAATTGAAGGAAATTATAAAGGAAAAAGTATCCAATTTGGAAGCAAAGGACTCAAAGCTAAGAGATTTTGCCTGGGTTACTAATGGCCTTTACCGGCTTTTCCGATCTAGGCGTGCTCTTTCAAACTCGTATCCTTTTGCATTCTACATGTTCGGTGATGAGCTGTTCAACGGCGAGACGTCAAAGAAGGAAAGTGAATTAAAACAGCTTTTATTCGAGGACCAGCAGCAGCAGCTTGAGTCAAACGTTGAGAAGCTGTCAAAATTTCTTGAGGAGCCATTTGATGAGTATGACGAGGACCAAATAATGAAAGTTAGAATGGAAGTTATTAATCTCTCTGTTATCACCGACAACCTCTGCAAAAAAATGTGAGAAAATTTTCTATTTATAACTCTTAGTTGCCGTATTTTGCGAATGTAGAAATTTTACCACCGTCTTCCTCATCTTTCAGGTATGAATGCATCGAAAATGATTTGCTGGGCCCACTTCAATTCACTAATCTCATTATTGCTCCCTACCGATCAAAAGGCGTTGAGAGGGCAGAGGAGCTGACAGTCGGACGGAGTTCTCAAGCAAACGGTAATAAGAAATGCCAGAAGGAAGCTGATCTCAACTCGGGTATTTAGAAATATTAAAAATCATCGTATTGCAAGGAATATAATTATATTTCCCGCTTTATATCTCAACTATTAATCGTAAAACAGCAGTTTCTTAGATAGACTTGAAGAATGAATCTGATGATGGAATTTAAATCTTTATCAGTAGCGTACGACGTTTTAAATGGAAGCATATTTCTTTTCAGTTATATCATGTCTAGCATATGCTATATTTACCCGAGCACATAGTTTTTGGTGAAATTGATGGCGAGTGATTCTGTTATTTATTCGCAATGCGATGCAACTTTGGATGTTTTTATTCAAATTGCGATGCTGACTGAAATCTTTTTCTTGAGTATGGTTTTCCGGGTTGTTTAAAATCTAACAAACCTGTGAATGATCTACGGCCAGTGAATGAATGTCGACGTTTCTGTCTCACTCTATGTCGACAATGGCTGTTGTACATTTTGCAGGAGAAGTAACAGAAATCAGCAAAGCATCCTCGTCGGCTGCAAACCTACAGCAATCCCGGAAGCGCCCTAGAAAAGGTGTCTCTGCTGGAAGAATGTTGGATCTCAACACCCCCGCTGACGACACTCATCAAAACAACGGTAAAAATTAATCTCGAGCTTAACTATATATGTATAGGTGGGAATAACAGCGTGTAGTATGCTCCTCTGATATAATTATGCAATGGTTCCGAACTTAGATACATCTTTCTGTGTATATGTGTGCGCCTTTGAGACGAAAATGATGGGAGGGAGGGAGGAATGTTAGGATCCCTTGTGGTATATAATTATATATGTCTATAGTTTTTGTTTGATTGTGGTTTTAAATTGATTTAAAATGGAGTGCTTTGATTTGAGTTTTTATTTAAATAGTATTTTGACATGATGTTTTGTGAGAGATTAGAGTATAAGCACATCATGACGCACAACCGTGATAAAAAATTCGTCGAGTTTTTCCTTTCTCCTGTAGTTCCTCTGGGGTTTCTTACCTTCTTTTCTGAGTTGAAAAACTTTCAAGAATTTTGGCTTCCATCGAAACAATATGCTGTTTGAATGATAGTTGTGGGAGATGTCCACGGAGGAGAGAATCAGTGAGTGAGTCGAGGGATGATTTTTAGGCCACAAAAACAATTTGGAAGAGATATTTTTACATTAACTACCGATGATACTCTTATATGGAGAGTGTATAATAAATTAAATAAATAATGTGTATTTCTGTAAATTTATATTTTTAAGTGAGATGATTTTTAACATTCATTTTTATTTATGTATTTTTCTTTTCTTTTTTCTCTTTTATTCCAACATTTCAAGTTTTTAATTTTGTTTTGGTTGATGTATTTATTTCAAGTTCCTATTTATGCATTTTCAGTCTAATTCCCTACCATTTTATTGCATTTCCAAAAATTATATTTATTCACAGTATTTTATTCTTTTTAAGGTCCGATATTGGCTTCTGCCAGCTTCTTTTGACTTCGGCTTTAAAAAAAAAAGCACAGACAGCTTTTGAGACTGAAAAATGGTTTTTTCAAAATTACAGGTAGCTTCTTAAATAAGTAAAAGTATTTTTCAATTAAAATTATTATTTTTGTACTTAATAATAATAATAATGATAATAATAATAATAATAATTAATACAATACTATAATACATTACTCTTTTTGTCCCACAAAATTAGTCTATTTTATTCTTCTTTTAGCTGTCCCACAAAATTAATTCATTTTCCTATTTTAATAATAATTAATAACTAATACTTCTAATTAAAAAAACTTAACTATATTTTATTAACTTACTAATATCTTTAATTTTATTATTTGTTAATTATAAATTTAGAAGTTTGGGCTAAAATTTTGAATAATAAAAATAATGAATATTTAATATTATATAAATAAATATTCATTTAATTTTAAAATTAAATTTTAATGTAATATATAATAAAATTTGATGTTTGATTTAAAAATTTATGACTGAAAAATTAATTAAAAATGAGATTTGATATTGATTTTTTTTCTTTGTTCAAAAAAAATAAAAAATAAATCTTATTTATACAGCAAAATTATAAACTTATTTTAAATTTCGGTATTTGACGTAGATGTTGTATCAAATAATCAGTATATACAAAAATACCAATTTTTTTAAATTATCTATATACACTGAATATATCTTATTGTATATCGTTATCATACAAAAAAAGTCATATTGTATCGAAATTTTAAAATTTTTTTGGTATTTCTTTTACGAGTATGCATGTTATTTCCGTAATTTAGTATTTTTTATTCGCAAATTTGGTATACCAAAATATTTCATACCAAAAATTTTATACCGTATGTATGCGATGTGGTATTAAATTTGATATGTCATTCAAAAAATTTTATATAGTATTAAATTTGATATGTCATTCAAAAAATTTTATATATTGTTTATATAATTTTTTTATTACATTTTTTATTGTATAAATTACATTTAAGTTATTAATTTTTTTTTAATTTAAATGCATGTATTGATTTACAATAAATACAATTATTATTATTTTTTTAAATAATTTCAGTAAATAAAAAATTCAATATTTTAAAAAATATATATATTTTAACTTTTAATTTAATATTTTATCAAATAAAAAATATTTAATATACTACTTTATTACATCCATTAATCAAACTAATTAATTATTTAACACAATATTTCTTAAATTGCATGTTCAAAAGAAACTAGACTAATTTTATGGGACGAAAAGAATATAAAAATAATTAATTTATATATTATATTTAGAAAAAATAAAAGATATAATTATACTTATTTCTTAAGCCAATCCACAACGCACCCTAGTTCTCCTTTTTAACTTATGATTATAGATTTAAGATCGAGTTTATACTTTGTTGAGTAAGTCTAGAAATCTATAACGACAACAATTTTTTGACCAGTCAAAATCAATCAGCCGTACAAAGGGAGAATTTCTAGCAATGACAAATATTTACTATACAACAATTAAACAAGTACTTAGAGTGTGTTCGTTTGTTAGATTTTTTAAAAAATCTATTATTCATCAATTATTTTTTTTTCAATCAAATTAATTTTTTATTTTTTTATTTTTTTATATTATACTAAAAATTAATTTTACGTTCAAAATATTATTTTAATACCATTTTACAATTGTTTCAATTTAATATTTTTACTATTCAAATCTCAATTCAAAATTTGACCTTCCAAACAAACACACCCTTACAGTATGTTTTTTGAAATAATTTAAATTTATTTATTTTTACATAAGATATAGAAAACTGTGTAAATAATATATAAATAATGAATATTTGTAACATATAAATTAGTTTTGAGAAGTGTTTGAGAAAAAAAAAAAAAAAAACACATTTACTACCTCTACGTCCCGTAACAAAGTATCCATTTTTCTATTTTAGCGTCCCATGACAAAGTATTAATTTCTTTTTTTTAGTAAATGTACTATCTATTAACATTACAAATATCTTTACAACTTACAATATATTACACAAACGTTATTACTTTTATATCACAGATTATTTTAGTTATTTATACTTTATTTTTAATTCTACTGTATTCCAATATAATACTAATATTTTTAAAATTATATGCAAATGGTTATTTAGTTCAGGGACTGAGGGAGTATTATTATTTTATTTTTTTATTTTTTTAAAGGTGCGGTGGATTTCCGTTTAGTTGATAATAAAATGGGAAAGTGTAAAGTCTGAAAACGTCCAAAACATTTTTGGCAACTTTGAATTGAAACCACACTTAGCTCAGATTTTTTTCGCTTTGCAAAACCAAACCTAACCCAACCCACAAGATCGATCAATCCAAGAATCCAACAATACTTTCTGCAATTTTGCAATCGACGATTATGGATGAAGATCGGATCGGCCTGGTCTTGGCTAAGACCTCCGAGTTGAGGTCCAAGATCGTTAGCTGCATTCGCTCCAAGGACTTCGAATATGATGATGATGACAACAACGATAATGGCGTTGCTGACCAAGCGGACAACCTTCTTAGGATCAGAGATGCACTCGAATCCCTCGAACTCCAGCTCTCTTCACTGCAGGTGTGCTTTCTTTCTTTTTTTCTTCTCGCAGTTGCTGTATGTAGTAGCTGGATTTTGGATTTTTATCGAATTGTCGAGTTTGAAGAGTAATTAAATCTGGAATTATGGAGTTTTCTTGTCATTGAACTCGAGTTTTTGAAAATTAGTGGACTGCAATTTTCAGCTACTGGTTATTTGTCTTTTCCAAAGCATTCGTTGCTGTGTTTATTCGAGACTAGAGTTCTTGCTACTGTACAGCTTCGTTTGAACTGCGTGATTTTAGTTCGAGAAATGCTTCTATGAATAAGGGTTTGTAGGACTCCAGATTTGAGGAATTTTTAGTTCAAAATAGGGTTTGACATTAGCTGAATTTAATTTGAAATTGTGTTGTTGAACAGCTATACATATCATGGTACTGTTGAATTAAATGATAGTAGAAAATAGGATAATTCAACGGCGAATGAGAATTAATTATTTTGTTCGGAGAATGTTAGAATTCTATTGATAAATGTGACATAGAAATACAACAATACGGATCACTCAATTTGGAGGAGATGATATATTGAGTTCTAAAAGAAAAGAGGATGAACCCATAAAGATGGTTTGAGAGGCTTTAGTGGAGTGTGAATATGCTGAGAAATATGGTGTGTTTAGTTGGTATTTTGGTTTTGAATTTTTTATTTGGATAGTAATTTTAACATGATGTTTTACGAGAGAAACTAATGTATTTTTATAGAAAAATTGTTAGTTGAATTATAGAAAATTTTAAAAAATTATCAAATGAGCACACCGTGCATTTCTGAACTTTCATTTATTTCAATTTCTCTGTTCATTGAAGATAAATAAAAATAGAGAATAAAAGATAATTTATTTCTCAATTTTGATTTCTCAGTCTCAAATAGACAAGAGATATGAAGATATTTTCATTTTCTTGTACCAAACACACCCTAAATTTATTTTGAACGATTATATATTTGAAAAATAAAATTCTTTCAACTATGATACGCTTGAAATACATAAAAAAATCTATTGATTTGCATTTAACATAACAAAAATATGTTGTCATGTTACGTAAGAATGTGGAATGGGAATGATGATACTTCCTGTCATAAATCGAAAATATTGTTAGAGCATGTTAGATGTTATGCTCCCTAAAAATGACTAAATTTATAAGTGAGTCGAGCTTTGTGTCGAAGGATAACAATGTATTAAAGCAAGTTCTGTTTGGTTTAGACCTTGACATATTGTTCCTATTTTCGTACATTCTTGGCTGGTGTGTTGTCGTTGAGATTTTTTACAGGAAGATACATGATTGCGAATTTGTTACTTTTGTACATGTTTCTTTTTACTCTTTCCTATATAAGTTAACCATGAAATTTAAGTTATGTTTGGATGCATATAGGAATGAGTGTTCCAATTTATGTGTAAACGACTTAAGTATTAATGTTTGTAACGTGCGAATGCTACATTCCCTTGGTTTGTTATCCACAGTGAGAGCTGAGAAATAAAAAGGCTTAAGCTCGTTCTTTAGACTCCGGTTTTTAGCTTCGTTACATGTGAAATCTGTTACGGAAATTGCTGTAAGCAAATAAACAGTTGTTATTTTGTATGAAATGGTTCTAAGTGAAATCATCTGTAACTTCTCTAGCTTACTCCTCGGACCTTAATTCAAAATTTGTTTAGATATGTTTTAGGAGTGTTATGGAGTTTCGGAAATTTTTGAAAATAGAAAGAAGTTGAATGAAAATTAGGTATTTGATGTGACAAGTGTTTGATGTCATGTTTTTGTATAAAAATAGGTTATTGATATAATATTTTTAAATGAAAATAGGTATCGGTGTAATACGTTTTTGAGAGAGAAATTTGTGATGAATTGTCAGCTTTCACCTCAGACCTCAGCTCAGAATTTGTTTATATATGTTTCCGAAGTGTCTCGGATTTTTTTAAATAGCAAAAAGCTGCATAAAAATAGGGATTTGAGGCGGTGTTTTGTATGTGTTATTAGCATAATACTTTAACTAAAAAAATAAGTTTTGGATGTAATATATTTTACCAAGGAAGTTTACGAAAGAATAGTGCCAAAATTGAGTCGAAAACATATGTAAATAGAGTTACTTATTCAATTATTGGGTTACTCTAGCAACTATTTTTCGTTGAATCTCATTTCTTTCTTCTTTTATTTAGGTATTTCGTCTTACAAATTGGAAATCTATGGACCGACTGTGTTGAAGTTACTTTATTCGTTTCATTTCTATTAACAAACACACATATCTAACATATGCTGAAGTTTGTTGCATTTTTGTTATTATCAGGCACTGCAGCAGCAACAATGGTACGAAAAAGAGTCGGCCTTGGCTGAAATCGAGTTCAGCCAAAGGAAGTTGCTCAAAGTGTTGAAGGAATACAAAGGCAAGGATTTGGAAGTCATACACGAAGCCATCGCTTTCGCAAGCGTAACAGAGGACAACAACGACCTTCTCCTTCCACCATATCCAACCCGACCTTCTCAACCCATTATCGCAGACACCGGCTATCTCTCAACTTTCATTTCCGCTCGAAAAGATCCTCAAAAAGGGACTCCACCTAGCGCCCGCAAAGATCCCGAATCCATTCCAAACAACATCCATTTATCAGATAGTGATCCGCGCCAATCCAGGTCGAGTGGCCCGCTCAAACCGGTGAAATTCTTGATCGGCACAGCTACCAGGACTGCGCTGACTATACTTGGGGTGATCACTATCCTGAATTTGTCCGGTTTCGAGCCCAGTCTGAGAAAACGAAGCGATCAGTTTAAGTTTCTGGACTTGTTTCAGCTGCAATGGTTGAACAATGTGAGAAGAAATCAAAATGACGGCAAGTGCCCGCCGGGGAAGGTCCCCGTGACCGAAAATGGTGAGATGCGGTGTGTCGTGAAAGAGAGAATCGAAATTCCATTCGAGTCGGTTGTCGCGGCTCCTAATGTGAGCTACGGTTTTGGGTGAAGAGAAATGCGAGGCTACATTCTTGTCGAAGAAATAGAGACGGGAGAGCAAAGGGAGCTTTTTACACCATTGTTGTACATTCCCATTGCTTTCAAAACTAACTGAATTTATCTTTCTCGAAATCATAGGAGAAGCACATTCAGGTTTGGCGTCGAAAGTCTCCAGGCTGGCTTATGGTCTCGCCTGATATCTGATCGTCTCGACTCGGGTAAGTTCATGTTGTAAGAGCTCTTGCTTTTAAACAATCAATTTGCTCCTTATCCCAATGAATGCATTATTGTATAAATTGTGTGTTTTTGAGTATTGTGCATACTTAGATGCAAAAGATAGATTGATTCTAAGACATGATTCTTGTTTCTTGATGTCATCGAATATATATATATATATATATAGGAAATGGTTAGAGTGCTAATTAGCTCTGGCGAGCACGTGAAATGTAGATTGTTAGCACATGACTAGAATTAGTACAACATATGTTGTGTATATTATTTATCTCGTGTTCTCGATTCATATCTTATAGGCGAGTCGTGTTGGCGCAAATTTAATATAAGTTGTGTGGACTATTGTTGTTATATGTTAGCGTTTGTATTATGCTAATATATATATATATATATATATATATTGTGTTGTTGATTTATATATCGTGTGTTATCTAATGCTTGTTGTTTATAATAACATGGGAATTTGCCGCTCCATTTCGATTGCACACTGAATATTATATTGCATTCTTTTTTTTTTCTTTTTTTTTTTTTTTTTTAATATTGCATTCTTTGAATGTTTATGTTGGATAACCAAAAATTGAAATAATTGGGTTCGGGTCAAACATTTTCGATTTAATTATATATATGAGATGACGCGATTATGACACAATAATAATTGGGTTTAGGATCAAACATTCCAATTATAGCTTATTAATAGTAATTAATATATTTATTATATATGTAAAACAATCTTATATTTTGTTCAAAAAGTTATTAATTTAAATTTAGTCCAATCCAATTATAATATCTTCAATAATTTTTATTATTTATTGTATATGTGTATAAAGTATCTTTTATTGACTTTTTTAGTTATAATTTATTTTCTTTTAGAATTGATTATTTGATTCTTGCTTGTAGAATTTTAATTTTAGAAGAAAAATAAAATTAAATAGATAAATGGGTTGGTTTTGTGTTAATTGAGTCGATTTCGTGTCGGGTCATCTAATATGTTTAGAAAATTATTAAATATGTTAGCGAGTCGTTTTCGGTGGCTACTATTAATTATAAAATTAATAGTGAAGTTCATGATTTTTTTATTTGTATTTTGTATTTTAATAGTATATTTTATGTGATGTTTTATAAAAATATATTTTTATATACTATCTCGTTTGGCTGTTTCATTTACTTTTTTAAATTTTGAATATTAATTATTATATCAAAACGTAGTATAAATTAAGAAAAAAATTATAAAAATATTTTTATTAGTGTCTTATAATACTAATAAAAGAATATTTGTACAAAAATTTATACATATTTTTAATGTTAAATATAATGACCAAAAGGTAAATGTGACATTTAGAAGCGGAGGGAGAGAGGGAATACATATTTTTAGAAATTGTAGAAATTTGAAAATTGCTCATTCTTTTTGTTCCATTTGTGTGCTAGTTTTACTTTTGGCATAATATTTTTATCGTGATAATGGTGTGTTTGTTTTGGGGATTGGATTTTAAATATACTATTCATTCAATTTTTTTTTTCAAAAAATATCAATTTTTTATATTATACTAAAAATAAATTTTATATTCAAAACATCACATCAACACCTATTTATACCACATCATACAATTATTCAAATTCAAAATTTTTACTATTCAAATCTCTACTCAAAATCCAAACTCTCAAACACCCTACTTTTTTTTTTTTTAATCATTTTGCTTTTAATTTTTGTTTTTGGATGATTTTATAAATTGCATCAAGAAAGGTAAAAAAAATGTGTAAAAGAGAAAAATGTATTCTACCAATTATAGAAAATTTATTAAAAAATAATAAAGAAATAATATTCTATGTAGAAAAAGTAATAATAAATTAGTTATTATTCATTAAAATAAAATTAATAAAATTACGAGTAAATAAAATCGTTTATTGGGTACAAATTTAATGAAACATTTAAAAAATTAAAATTTGATATAATTATAATGTATAACTTTTTTGCTTGTCATATTTAGTAATTTAATTTTTATCCCTCAAAATATCATATTAATATATTTATTTTTTATTTAATATATTACATAATTAAAAAAATAAAATCTATTTAAAAGATCATACTACTAAAAAAACTTTTTATCAAATTGAATTTTTATTTTTTATTTATTATGTATTGCATTAAATTTTAAATTTACGATAAAAAATTACATTAATATATTTCATATTAAATAATTATTTCAAATTAATGTTTATTATTATCTTATATTATATTATAATTTAATTAAAATTTCACATCAATATATTATATTATATTATATTAAATATTATTTTAATTTTATAATTTAAAAGTCCAACCCCGACACTCAAATCCCATTCTTTGTTGACTTATTTGAGAATTGGAGTGAAACCATGCCGGGGGCGCCGCCTCCGCCAGCAGCACATGGTTTTCTTCTTACAACAAATCAATTTAAATCTCAATTTGAATTTAATTTGAATTTGAATTTGAATTTGAATTTGCTTCTTGATTAAATTACTTTTGTGGCTTTCCATTCCATCCATTCAAGAGCCATTGACATTGACATTTCACTATGTATATATATATATATATATGCTCGTAGTATATTGTCTTTATCTTATCTTCATCGACAAATTTTCGAACACATTGATTGATTATATTGTAGTTTTTAGTTTTCAAAAATTTCGATTTTTCCGGCAATGGAACAGCCCGTTTCTTTTACAGAGGAAGAGGAAGCTCTTGTCATCAAGTCATGGAACTCGATGAAGTCGAATTCCGGTGAATGGGCTCTCAAGTTCTTCCTCAAGTGAGTTACCGTCGTATTTATATATGTTTTGAAAGTATTTGCGAAGTTTTTTAAAATTTTGAAAATTAATAAAAAAAGAAGAAAAAAATTAAATAAAATATAGTTATATGACGTGCTAGCTTTAAGTATATATATATATATATATGAATGTGATGTTTTGCATAAAAATTATGCTTTTTTGAGGTAATGTTGTTATTATGTAAATTGAGAGTTTGGTACTATTATTATTATTGTTTTTTTCTTTTTTATTGTTTTTTTCTTTTTTTTGATGTAATGATGTTCGATGATTGAAAGGGTATTCGAGATTGCGCCGTCAGCTCAAAAGATGTTCTCGTTCTTACAAGACTCGAATGTGCCGTTGGAGCAAAATGCGAAGCTCAAGGGACATGCCAAGTCCGTGTTTGTCATGGTTAGTCTTCCGCTGAGAACGATTAATTATCACTATTTCTAAAATTAGCGTATTTATAGATTATCACTCTCTTTAGATAAGAGTTCAAAAAGTTTCTAATGTATTTCTTTTTGTTTTTTGTTTTTTGTTTTGTTTTTTTAACTATTTAGACTCTAATATTTTTTTATTTTATAAAATATTATTTTTTGGGTGTATTTGTTTGTGATTTAAGTTTTGGATTTGAGTTTTTAATAGTAAAAATTTTAATTTGAATAATTATTTGATATGATATAAATAAATTTTAACATATGATTTAGTTTAAGTATAATATAAAAAAATATTTAATTTGATATTTTTTTTAAAAAAATTATAAATAGTAAAAAAAAAACCTAAACCAAACACATAAAAGTTTTAAGAATAACAAAAGACTTGAATAAAAAACAAATATCTTATGTGATTTGTTTTTTTTTTTTTTTAAAAAAAAAGAGATTTACTAAACCTAATAATATTCCTTCTGTCTCAATTCAAAGTAGTCTTTTGGTTGGGATTTTATAATAAATTAAAAAATAATATGATTTTATTAGTTAATAAAACTGCATAAAAAGTTTCGACATATAAAGTAATTATACCGTTTGTATGTTTGTAATTTATATAAAATTAAAAGAAAAAAAATTGATATTAGTAATGATACTTTTGTGCGTAAAGGATGGAAATTATATATATAAAAAAAAAAATACAGTTGGGACAGAAAGACTATTAGAACTTCAATAAATGATAATGTGTAACTAAACATAGTATGCATTTTTTTTTAATTTTAAACAATATTTTTATGTAATGTTTGTAGGCGTGCGAAGCCGCGGTGCAGCTAAGGAAAACCGGAAAAGTGGTGGTGAAAGATTCGACGTTGAAGAAACTCGGGAGCGTGCACTTGAAAAACGGCGTGGTAGACGAGCACTTTGATGTAGTCAAGTACGCGCTTTTGGAGACCATAAAGGAGGCCACTGGAGAAATGTGGTCGCCGGAAATGAAAGCGGCATGGAGCGTCGCGTATGAACACTTGGTTGCCGCTATCAAAACTCATATGATATGAAATAAACATTTTCATCTTGTCGTTGTCTTCTTATTTTTATTTATGTATGTAATTAATAGTATTTTCATTTAAATATATAAAATGTTATTGAAAGTTTTATTTAATTATACTCTTTTGAAGTTTGATTTATTTATATGTTTGATAGAATAATGTTGTTTTCTTTGAGTGTGATATTGTTTGAATGAAATAATTTTTATTTGAAAAAATATGAATATAAATATTTCTATTTGAAATAACGTAGGATATAAAAATTTGATTTTATACTCTTACGATTTGCCATTAGCTCTATGCTCATTTGTTGGAATTGTGCCTAAAAATTGTGTGTATCGAACTAACACACCTTGTAATTTATCACCCATGAGAATTATTAAGCTTTGTTCTTTCTATATTTCTTTTCACGCGTTTTCCTAAAAAACAATAATACATTATATATATTCATTATTTTTATATTGCATACACAATATATTTCATATAAAAAAAAAAAATTCTTTCCAACAATCTAACAAAACAAAAACACCATATATATATATATATATATATATATATTGAGAGTTAAGATTTAATAAACACACTTCACAAACAACTTAAAAAATTATAAAGAGTGCAAATTTGATTTTAGACCATGTTGTGATTTTATTCTATGTGTCATCAACAAATAAAACTAACACCTAAGTGCCCAAAACAAAGAAAATTTAACAAAATCTTAAAACAATATTAATCATAAGTAAACAGGGTTATTAAATTGAACACTAACTCCTGTTAGGGTCTATTTCAAACTCCAACTACGAAGACGATCGACGACTCTTTCCGCGGTGGACTCTTCTCGACGGTGGCAGCGGCTAGAGACTTCTCGGGTGAACTAGCAGCGAACACCGGCGGACAACAGCAACTCTGACAATTGAACAGCGACTTCTGGAGACTCGACAAGAACGATTGAGGAAACTATTTTGTTGGGTCAGTTTACGACTTGATGACTCACTTAGGAACTAACCCATCCACCTCCAAACAAACCCCAAAATTACGGACGACAAACAACCGAAAAACCTAACGCCTAATCTACGCACCAAAGAACCCAAGAACACTCAGAACTCTTTAAGAATGAGACTTACCGAAGAAGTTGAAGAGAAGATAGGTTGGTACAGCTGTTAAACGAACCGAGCCGTTCGCGAACTCGGTTTGGTTAAAGCTTGTTCGCGAATGTTAACGAGTCGAGCCGAATAATATAAACAGACTCGTTTAGTTAATGAACGAGCCCGAGCTTGGTTCGCGAACGTTCGCTTAAATAATATATTTATTATAAATATTATATATACATATAAAATTATAATTTATAAATAAATAAAATATTAATTTAAAATATATAAATAAAATAATTTTAAATTTTCTTTTTAATTTATATATAAATTAAAAGAAGTGAGGCAAACGAGCTCGAACGAACTCGAATGAGCTTAAACGAACCGAATACGAACACGAGCTGAAACAACAAAAATTCTTAACATGCCGAGTTCGAATACTACGAACGAGTTCCAAAGCTTAACGAACGAACATAACCTTATTTGTGAACGTTAACGAACATTTAAAATATGGCTCGACTCAGCTCGACTCGACTCGACTCGACTCGTTAACAACTCTATAGGTTGGCAAATAACGAAGGAGAAGAAACTCCCATCCTACACAAGAGAATAGCAAGAAGCAACATAAGACAAACACATACACAGAATGATCGATAGAAGGAGGAAGGACATTATATAGAGCGGATCTAAGTCAAAAAGTGTTTCGGGTTGGATCCGGATCAAAAGATTTGGATTGCGGGTTGGGTGGGTCTGGCTAATGTATTGTCGGTATAATATTATTTTAATAGTAACGATAATCTTATATCAGCATCGTAACTACTGATCACTTCAGTAAGAGTGTTGATTGAAAATTTATAAGCACTATGCTGATTGCTCCAATCAGCACATGAAAATATAACATAATTTTATAAAATATTAGTATGTGTTGTCCTTTCTATTTTATATATCTCTTGTATATTCATATTTAATCTATTGTTATATATATATATATATATTTATATATGTATATATTATTGTTTTATTAATATCTATTTTTTTTTAATAATAATAATAATCAAGAAAAGTGAATCAAATTAACCCATTGATTACAACAACATGGTAGCTAATGGTATTCTTTTAATACCTAAATATTGTTCACGATTTTTCCAATTAATATATTATTTTCCATAACTTGGTAATATTCAAATTTTTAAAAAAGTAAAACAAAATAAAATCTATTTGGACAATAATGCCCCTATGGCGCCGGCGATGAGGGTGGTGGGATCTCCTAGAACTGCAGATATGACAAATTGCAAGGCGAGCGCGGCCACCTCGCAACATTTGCGTGCTTTTCCCTTTTTACCCCTCTGCCGCCGGTGGTTGTGCTTTGCCAACGTGGCACTCAGTGACGTGGCACCGGCGTGGGTGTGGGTGTAGGTGCTCCCCCACGCACCGTAGTATATCTCCTGCCAACTCTCGACCAACATTTCCTTGACGCACGCCACGTGGAAGTTGTACTTCTTGCACGATGACCTGTAGCTCCAACTCCGCCCTTTTCGTCCACACCTATTTTAATTAATTCTAATTTATTAATTCATACTCTAAAAATATTCTACTAATTTATTTATTTATTTTTTTTTTTTTTCTTACCAAAGATTTTCGGTTTTATTATTTGTATTATGCATGTGTCTGTGAACTTTCGGATTAAATTTTACTATTTTAATTTTTTTTTAAAATAATATCATATTGAATATCTAATTTTTATTTATTATATTATATTAAAAATTAATTTTACATTCAAATTTTAACATTAATATATATTTATGAGTTCATCAAATCAAAAAAATTTCTCACAATTATCAATATATAATATTTATATTATATTCTTTAACGAGAATCAATAATTTAATACAAAATTTTATTTTTTATTTTTTTATTACCAACACAATTCTTCATATTTCACATATAAATAAATAAATAATAAATAATATCAAACTAAAACACTAAACAAACAATTCATTATATCAAACAATTATTTCAATTTAAAATTTTACCAATTTAAAACTCAAAAGTAAAATCCCATAAACAATATACGTTAGTTTGTGATTTTCAAAATCATATATTATTATATTAATTTTATTTATCAAAGCATCAAATTAATTATTATTTTTCTTTTAAATATTATACTAAAAATTAAATTTACAGTAAAAATATCATATTAATGTATATTTATTCTATATAAAATAATTATTTTAATTTTACCGTTACAAACTCAGAATCAACTCCCATGACCCAATGAATCTTTGAACCTTTCAAATTAAAAATAATACTTTATCGGTCATTAAATTTTATTTTTATTTGATCGAACACGAATTTATTTTTTTTAAAAAAAAAGTGAATAAAAATAGATTTTTTTTTCTTTTATAGTAAAAAAAAATATATTAAAAAAAAGAATAAATTTAGACGACAACAAGAAATAAAAACAAATTTAAATGATATAATAAAAAGTTGGAATTAACATAATATGTTTGAAGGATATTTTTGTCAATTTCCTACTATTTACTTATTTTTTTGACAAAAATATTAAATTAAATTATTATTATATATTATATTATATTAAAATTAATTTTTATGTATTTGTATTTTATTTATATCATATTCACACTAATAACGATTCAAAAAAAAAAAAAACTTCTATCGATAAAACAATAAGGTGATGGAGGAGGAGGGAAAGGATAAAATGACATGCCTGTGACAGGAGGCGGCGACTTTCTTATACAAGTAGAGCTTAATGTCACCGTCATGGAGGAGCATCGGCAGCTTGGCGCAGCAGGGATGGAGGTCGAACCCGCAAGACTTGCAGTGGTAAACAAACCCCGCCACGTCCTTCTGGCACGCGTTGCAGAAACGCGCCACCTGCCCCGCCGGCCGCGTCAGGAACTGGAACGAGCATTTCGTGTAGAACGGGTGTGCGATCGACGCCGACGGTACGGCGCAGTGCGTGTGCAGGTCGTAATTGCACGCGCCGCCGCCGCCGGAGCACTTGTACCGGGAGCCGATCCCGGGCTCCTTGCAGCCGTCGCAGGTGAAAGGATCCTCCGAGTACTCGAACTTGAGGCTGTGCTGCGGATGGCTGAAATGGCAGATTTCGTTGTATTTCATGATATTAATTGATTAGTTACAGAAATTAGGGTTTGGTTTTGTTGGGAGGGAGAGGATTGATTGATTAATCGATAATGTTGGATGGATGAGGAATTTAAGGATATGTACGTGTGGTGTTTGGTTGGCTTTACTTTGAAGCGATTGGGGATTTGTTCTTTCAGGAGTACAATTCTGCAAATCCATCCATACATGCCATGCCATGTCTCTAGCTTAGCTTGAAGAAGAAGAAGAAGCTGACTGGATATTGGGAAGTCCCGGGATTTGAGCGCCCATCGATTTGCTACCTTAGGTTTGTAGGATCATCGGTCCTGGATTCATCTGGTGTGGGGGGTCCCTGGAGCTTTCGTAAAAAAAGAAATTACAGTTATTTTTCATCGGAGGCTTTGGTACGTTTGTTTTGGGGATTTGGTTTGAATTTGAACCATAAAAATTTTGATTTTTAAAATAGTTTTATGATGTGATATAGATAGATAATATATTTTATTAAAAATATAAAATTGATTTTTAGTATAATAAAATAATAAAAATAGATATTTGATTGGATTTTTTTAGGTAAAAAATTTGATAAATAATAACAATTTTTATAAAGTTTGATAAAAATATACAATTTTGTTTGGCTGTGTGAATATTTTTATAAGAAAAAATAGTAAGTACTCCCTCGATCCTAATTCAAATGGCATTTGAAATTTTGTAATAGATTAATAAATAATAATAATATTTTATTGATTAGTGAAGGTATATAAGATGATTTTGATATTTTTTAATTTATGTATAAATTAATTGCATTGTATATATAATATTATTTTTGTAATTTATGTAAAAGTTAGATGATATTTTTGATATTAATGTGTAATTATTTTTATTCTAATATAATAACGAAAATTGATATATTTTTTTTACATACATCTATGGTAGAAAGAGTGTTTTTCAGATAAGACGAATGAAATATATTTTTATTACAAACCATAAGAACCGAATAATATAGTAATTCTGATTTAAATAAAAAAAAAATACATCTGCTATTATTAAACAGGGTTGTATTCTATGTAATATGGTCGTTCGATCCGACTTAGATGCCACCTCAACGTTACTTATAGTCACGTTAGCACGGTCGTTAAAATTTGTAAAGTAAAACAAAAATAATGAATTTATTTTTGTGTGTAAAGTTTTGATAATTCTTTTAGTGGAACAAACAATAAATAAATAAATAAATAATTGAGTTTAAATGAGGCTGATAATGATTTTTTCTCGAATAATAATAATAATAATAATAATTGACATCACCCGTGGAATATATGCATAGTGACACACAAATATATCTTACTACAAATTAAGTTTACAAATAATCATTAACAAAATTATCCATTTATTTTTTAAAAAATAAAATAAAATAAAAATTTGGAATTGGGAAAAAGAGAAAAATGAATGGAATAAATTCTATGGTCAAATCGTTGGTAAAAATTGCATTATTCCTTTTTCCCCATAAAAGAAATTCCAATTAGTTGCTTAACCACCTTTAATATGCTTTTTATCTTCAAATATAACAATAACATATCTACTTTTACTATTCATATCTTACTTTACTTCTATGTATTATTATTATTATTATTATTAATTAATTAAATTTAATCAAAAAGCCATCACCACAATAAATTTTAAATTTTGTCTTTTTAATGAATGTAATATTTTATATGAAAAATAATTTTTTTTTTTTTTTATTATTTTAAGAAGCTGAAATTAAATTTCAAAAAGAGCAAATCCTAATTATATTATACTTCAATAATCTCTTTTGTAATTAATATATGTTTTGCCATCAAGAATGTATTATTTCTTATTTAATTAGGTCATTCAATGGAGATTTTTTCTATATATTTACAACATAATTTTTGTTTTTTTTTTTTTTTTTTTTTTTTAAAAAAAAAAGTTACTAGTTCAATAGTTTTTCTATTACATGATTCAATACTTGAATTTATTATTCAACAATTTTTTTTTACCGTCGAATACGTAAGTGTTCATTAGATTTACAAAATGGTTTAACAAATTTATATGTGTATAAATGGGATCATTTTATCTTACTTAATTGTTTTTTACGAGTGTATTAATTTATTTTATCTTTTAAATTTCGTACAAAAAAAATAAATGAATACTCTACTTTGTACGGAGAGAATATTTTTTAATAATTCAACAATGTGCTTTTATTTTGTCCCTTTAACAACACAATTCTAACACATATTTCATTCTATTTTGTGTGTATAATAATATTAAAAAAAGGTTGCACGTGACACTCATTATTATTATTATTATTATTATTATTATTATTAATACCTTTAGGTAAAATTTGTATTAAAATATTTTTATATTTAAATTGTAGTTGATAAAAAATTAATGTCTATTGAATTTGAAATATTGCCATGTGTGTTTAATTTGAAATATTGCAAGATCTAACATGGACTAACAACTTAGAAATTAATTTCTAACACCAAATAATTGTAGATTTAATTTTTTAAATAAATTTACAAAGATATATTGGGTTTTGGTTGCAATGTGATCTTTTAAATGGATTATACTATATAGAATTGTTTTTATACAAATTTCAATTAAAAGACCAAAATAATAAATAATACCACACAAAAAACTAAAAAAAAAACTATCCATAATAATAATAATAATAATAAACTTTGAAAATCAATTCCTAGTGTATTGAAAAAAAGTAAATAAATTAAAATTTAAAATGAGATTTAATATATATATATATATATATGTTTCTTAGCTTAGAAAATGAGTGAAAAGGAGAGTAGGCAAAGAAAAGGCTTAGGCAAATCTTGCAAGAAATACATGCAAACCCTTTTAAACTTTGTGTTTCTTCCTTCACATTCTATTTCCTTTTTTTTTATTTATTTATTTATTTATTATTAAGCGTCCATCACCGTCGCCGTCGCCGTCGCCGTCGCCGTCGCCGTCGCCGTAAACAGTGTGTGTTAGTTTAGTTTTTTATATTTTTAGGTGTTTTTGTTTTTGATGTATAAAGAATCATGAATGTATTATTATAAGAGATAATATTTTGTTTATTTTTATCAATTTTTATTGTTATATATATATATATATATTTTTGTATATTATTAAAGTGGATCGATCATAAAATATCACATTAAAATTTTATTTAAATAAAAATTTAAACCAAAATATCAAAGTATTTGATGCCAACCCTTTCGCCTCATTCACCAATTAAGTTTCGGGAAGTTTTGATATATTATTATAATTAATATTTTTTGAAAAAGTATACTATTTATGTCATTTAAATTTTACAAAAATATTTTTATTTTTTACGTAAAAAATATCATTTTTCTATTTTTTTTTCTTACAAAATAATTGTCACCTCATTTAATTTGATCAAGGCTTTGCTTATGTTTATATTTTTTTTCTTTAAAAAATTGATATTATTTATTAATAATATTTGTTTTTATTTGAGAAATATACCATCATTTTTTTCTATAGTCGGAAGATTTTGACTTTAATTTTATTATTTTTATTTTTAAAAAAATATTAAATTAATTTTTTTTATTATATTACACAAAAATTTATTTTTATATTCCCTCTGTCTCATAACAAAGTATCCATTTTTTCATTTTAGTCTGGTATCTATTTCTTTTTTTAGTATCTGTACTGTCTACCTAACATTACAAATACCCTTACAACTTATAATATATTACACAAATGTCATTATCTTTATATCACACATATTAATAAGGTTATTTTAGTCATTTCTACTTTATTTCTACTATATCTCAATATAATACTAATATTTCTAAAATTACGTGAAAAAACAAATAAATATTTATTTATAAAACAGATAAAATATTTAAAATATTGAGTTTATACTTATTTATATAGCATTAAATAATTATTTTAATTTAAATTTTACCAATCCAAAATGTAAAATCATTTGATTTGACAATCTAGACCAACATGAATCTGATTCTCTCTCTATCTCTTCTATGTCCCTCTTTTTGCCATTTTTTCTTTTTATTTTTTAATTTTTATTTTTTTAATATATATATATATTTTTTTTTGTAAGAAATAACTATTGGGGATGTATTCAAAGGGCAATATTATCAATAAATATATAAATAATGTATGTATGTATGTATGTGTGTGTAATTATTCCATAGGTAATTAATTCTAATTCACATTCTGATTCTAAAGAAAGACAATAATGAAGGAATCTTGCAATAAGGCATATATGTATATATATATATCTATATCTAATTTAGGCTTGTCCTTTTCTATGTCAATCCATAATTTAACTTTACTTTTATTACATTTTTTAAATCATGGTTCAAAATTTTTTGTTCCATTTAGTCAAGAGATTTTTTAAGAGTTTTAGAATTTTAAAATTTTAAAAATAATAAAAAGTTATTATTTTATATGATGAAAAAAAAAAGTATATATTAATGCGATATTTTAAAGAATAAAATAATATTAAAGTTTCTGAAATTACCATGTAAACCGAACTCTTTGTTATTAAATAAATATTAAAAAACTATATTATATTATTGTGTTGATTTATATGAGATGAAATTTTTTAAAATGTCATTGGGTTTGGTTTTTATTTGAATTTTAGGGTGGGTTTGAATTTTGTTATTTTTTTTGTGTTTGGGTTTGACTGGGGTTTGGGGAATTTTGATGTGTATTGATTTGATGGATAATGAATAAAATAATATAAATATGTATTAAATTTAATCGATAAAATTTATATTGTATATATTTTTTCCTCTATAATTATAATAAATATTAAATTATATTTTAATTTTTTTTAAAAAATAATAAAAAATAAAATAAAATCTGTTGCAGCTTGTCGGCTAAACCGTGAACAACTCCAAATTTAAAATTTTTACTGTGCAAATACTTTGGAATTAAAGAAACTGACGCTGATAAATTAAAAATAAGCATTGAGATAAATTAATAATTAAGTGGGGAAACCAAATATATAATAATAATAATAATAATAATAATAATAATAATAATAAATAATAATAAGACTATTTAGATGAAACAATCCTAAATACTCCCTCAGTCCCAGTAGAGTTGTCTTATTTTTTTTTATTCTCGTCAGTTCCAAAATAATTATTTTGTTT